CAAAGAAGAAGCTAGAGATGTCAAAGACCATGAATGGATGCATGGATGGAACTCTCACCAGCTCAACTCCAGCCATTTTCTGCCGATTTTCAGGCAGACAGCCAATCCAACAGATTGTTCCCGTGACTGAGTTCCCCTTGTCCAAGTTGATCCGTACCACTGAGTTCACGTCAAGGGGGGGTGACTTGCTTTCCAGATCCTCTGCACTCTCACTTCTCTTGCACTTAGGCTGCTCCTGGAGCCCAGAATCAGCATCCACTTCAAAGCCTGAAAGGCAACACATATGTATTATGCCAGACAGACTTTTGTAATTAACATTTTGATGCCGTTTTATTACTTTGCTGTTGAAGACACTGGGTGGGAGCTGGAGAGTAGGAATTTATGAGTGACGTAGCCATTTTGCTGGTCCGGCTGTTTAGTATTCTCTTTAGCAACCTAAGACCTGATTTGGGTTAGGAACCCTCACTTACACTCTGCAATGCACTTGACTTTCTGCTACTAAAGGAATTGCTATGGGGTGCCTGGGTATGTTTACCTCTGCATTCTACCCATCAGTGTTGAAATGCGCCTTTGCTTCAGCAGAACATCTTCCTGGTTGGTGCAGGGCAATCAGAAGACCAGGGTTCCTTCCAAACAACAAAATGCCATCTCATTTTCACTTCTCCCTTCGTGCATTCTTCAGCAAGGCACTCAAGAATGCTTGCTGCCTCAGTGTTTTAAGAGGAGTGCAACACAGAAAAATATACCCTATGAGTCTTATAATTTGGTGGAAAAGGCAGACTACAAAGGTGGTTGGTGTGCATGTTATTGTTTTCAGTAGCAGCCTTATAGACTCCAACCCCAATGCCACAGTAGAACCAGTAAGAAGAAGAAGAGTTTGGATTTGATATCCCGCTTTATCCTACCCTAAGGAGTCTCAAAGCGGCCAACATTCTCCTTTCCCTTCCTCCCCCACAACAAACACTCTGTGAGGTGAGTGGGGCTGAGAGACTTCAGAGAAGTGTGACTGGCCCAAGGTCACCCAGCAGCTGCATGTGGAGGAGCGGAGACGCGAACCCGGTTCCCCAGATTACGAGTCCACCGCTCTTAACCACTACACCACACTGGCTCTCAATAAGATTTCTGGTCCTCCAGAAATGGAGAAGCAAAGCTACCACAGAAGTACTAAGTCACCTGGGGAAAGCAGCTCCTCTTTAACCACAGAGTCCATGGGGATCATGCGGAAAACATCTTCCGATCCTTCTTCCTCCTACAAACCAAAATAGAATGTGGGTGTATGTTTTAATCTGTTTTTAGCTTATTATTGATTTTATGCTTTGAATGACTTACAAAGTTGTTTTATGGGTTTTCTTCCTGATAATTTATTGATTTATTCTCTCTGTAAACAGCTTTGAGTTTTGGTTTTTTTAAACAATCAAGAAGTATTAATTTATGAAATAAATGAAGTAGAAAATTTAAGGATGTACCTGGAAGTTTTACATACAGTGGTGCCTCGCAAGACGGAAAACCCGCTAGACGAAAGGGTTTTCCGTTTTTGAGTTGCTTCGCAAGACGATTTTCCCTATGGGCTTGCTTCGCAAGACGAAACGTCTTGCTAGTCTTGCGATTTCCCCCCCGCTTCCCCCCCTTTTTCTAAGCCGCTAAGCCGCTAATAGCCTTTTAGCAGCTAAGCCGCTAAGCCTTTTAATAGCCGCTAAGCCGCTAAACCGCTAATAGCGCTAATCCGCTTAGCCGCTAATAGGGTTGCTTCACAAGACGAAAAAAACGCTAGACGAAGAGACTCGCGGAACGGATTCTTTTCGTCTTGCGAGGCACCACTGTACAAAGTATGTGAGCTACTACTAAGCTACATATGCAACATGGATGTCATTGGCTTAGTTCACACCAAGCCATGGTTTGTTTAACAAACCACAAGCTGTCGCACAGACAACCACAGCTTGTTTCTTCAAAGCTTAGATTGTTTTCTAGCTGCTTCTTTGGTGAGCATCTTGGGTGGGGCAGCCAAGCAAACTATGATTAAGAAAGGGTGATCGATTCACATGCAACACCAAGCGGGAGTTTAAACAAAGAAAGAACAAGCCATGGAGTCCATCTTGGTTTGTTGGCAAAAACCAAACCATAGTTAAGCCACAGTATAGCACTGGCTTCCGGTTCTGCTCTGCCTTAAGGGAGGCAGCTCCCACAACAGTGGGAAAACGTTGAAGAAGGAAAAACAAGGATGACTGAGGGCAATTAGCCTTGAAAATCCCCCCCCCCCAGGACAGGGGGAAATGGGCTTCACTCTCAATTCGTCTCGGTACCTGGCTCTGACCCCGGCATGGAATGCGGGAGGCAGAGATGCGCTGAGTGCAAAAGCACTTCGCCTGCCAAAAACCCTCCGATGACGCCATTAAGAAGTATAGGTTCTCCTGTTAATTAGAGCTTAATTGGACTAAAGTATGGGTGCGTGCTAGAAGAGATGAGATCACAAACTGCAGAACAAAACCAACTGCAAGGACTTTACAGTTTGAACTTGAGATAAGACTTCATTGGTGCAAAAGACGGGTGGAGGGGAGCCTACAGTTTCTTTATTTAAAGTTTTCTTCTTTACATTTATGATTCGGCAACCCACCTCCGAATGTGAGTTCAAATTAGATTTGCACAAGCAAGGATGGAAGAAATTGGATTATAAATATGGAATATAACATCAAACAGAACCCTGTGTGTAAAAAAAAGAAAAAGAGAGGGAAGCTCTATTTTGCAAAAGGTTTACAATGGAAACTTAGAGCTGACTCTTCCCCATCCTTTATTATTTACGGAGTGAACTGAATAACGCTAAGAGGACTTGGAATTTAATTTAATTGGAAGTATAATTGCTCATTTATCTTCAGTTGGATGGAAGGATGAAAGGAGTCTGTGAGCTTGCCAAGGAACTGATAAGGTTCATATCTGAATTATCTGCAGTTTAACAGACCACTCTTCTTTCCAGGCTGAGAGAAAATGGTTAAAAAGGTTGTGATTTTTGCAGTTGTTAATGTTGCAAAACAATGAAGCATAAGATGGGGCAATGGAGAAATTTCTGGAATAACAATGGGATATCAGCTTCGCCCAAGGCATGATGGGAAACAGCAACAACTGGGGGAAAGAAAGACATAACATCTTACAAGGACGGGAAGAAACACCACGGACAGAATAATTGCCACACACAGGAAAAGCAAGAATATCTTTTGAGTTCCTCATTAGTAGTTTTATAAATCATTTAATGTGTCAACACACATAGAAGTAATTAATACAGTCATACCTCGGGTTGAATGTTCTTCAGGTTGAGCGCTTTTGGGTTGCGCTTCGCGGCAACTCGAAATAATGGAGTGAGTTACTTCCAGGTTTCGCCGCTCACGCATGCGCATACGCTCAAAATGACGTCATGCGCATGCATGAAAGCGGTAAAACGCGACCTGCGCATGTGCAGATGCACCGTTGCGTCTTACGTTCTATTCAGGATGCGAACGGGGCTCCAGAACGGATCCCGTTCACATCCTGAGGTACCACTGTACTGCAGTTGTTATATAAGGGATTATTATTATTATGACTGGAATGTAATGGAAATTAATAAGATTCTGGAGACAGAAATAAAGCAAATAATCAAGCCATCAATTCTAGGCATGCAGGGGGCCACCTTATCTAAATTATTTAAGTCAGCATTTGAACAATTGGTATTAATAACTGTATTATAAATTGTTATTGTTATAATGAAGCTATTATTGGATTGTAATTGAAAACAAATAAAAAATATTATCATAATATAGCAACCCATGGCTTAGTGTTATGTGTAGACCTGGCCATTTTATCCATCTGGCCCAGATAAGGACAAGCAAGCATTTATCAGTTTCAACTGGCAGAGGAGACCTGTTGCATTATTTCCCTTCCTTGCTCTTTTTGGCGCAAACCCCAAAATGGGGGCATCATCATTCTCTATTTTCAGGACATTACTGTCTCAATGAATGCCTCCTCCAGAAGGATTTAATCAGAATGGTGATGACTTTCTTACCGGACACACTTTAACCATCCAGGTGTTTTCCTCCTTGAATACATCCATTGCTATTCCCTCGCATGAAGGCATCATCCAATAGAAGCCGATGGTATCCCCCACTTTCACTGGAGATGCCCCCAACTGCGTCTGGATTTGCCTCTTGCTTCGCCATGCCCATCTCTGGTGCAGATACAAACTGCAGTTTGTTACATGGGAGGAAAAGGCCACAGTCCTTTTTACACTTGAAGTATTCTGTCCCATTGTAGGTACCATCGCAGTGGCCTTTGCCTTCACCGTCACCCTGGAGAAGCAGCAGATAGGTTATGGTTATTAACATCTCAGGATATGAACAAAGAGAGGACACAAGAGAATTAGCCCATTTCTGCTACAAATATTTGAGTATCATGTAGGAACCAAAGTATACCCTTCAGAGGAGCAGGACAGCTCCCCATCCTTCAGAAAAACTGCACTGTAGTTGCAATCCAGAATGCGGCAGCTAGACTGGTGACTGGGAGTGGCCGCCAGGACCACATAACACCAGTCCTGAGAGATCTGCATTGGCTCCCAGTACATTTCCGAGCACAATTCAAAGTGTTGGTGCTGACCTTTAAAGCCCTAAACGGCCTCGGTCCTGTATACCTGAAGGAGCGTCTCCACTCCCATCATCCAGCCCGGACACTGAGATCCAGCGCCGAGGGCCTTCTGGCGGTTCCCTCATTGCAAGAAGTGAGGTTACAGGGAATCAGACAGAGGGCCTTCTTGGTAGTGGCGCCCACCCTGTGGAACGCCCTCCCTTCAGGTGTGAAGGAAATAAGCAGCTATCTTCTCTTTAAAAGACATCTGAAGGCAGCCCTGTTTAGGGAAGTTTTTAATATTTAATGCTGTATTGTTTTTAACACTTGATTGGAAGCTGCCCAGAGTGGCTGGGGAAACTCAGCTAGATGGGCAGGGTATATATAAATAAATTATTATTATTATTATTATTATTATTATTATTATTATTATTATTATGTATCATAAAGCCCAAAACCATACAGGTAGCATGCAGCTGAATAAAATTCAGGAATCGCCCCATTAAAACTTACTAAATTTACTTCTAGCTTTCCATTTCCATAAAGGAGCACATTTTTCATGTACTGTTTAACTCAAAACTTCCATCATGTGACTTCTGTTTAATGTGACTGCATTAATTCCATCTTACTCCCTTCACAGTAACCAAGAGATTGGAAAGAGATTAAAATGAGCACGTTATTATGCCTTAGCCAGAAAATAACGTATTTTTCCTTCTTTGAAACCATGCAGCCTGAGGAAAGGTTTTTGTGGATCTCAAAAGCTTGTGTGAGACATTTTGAACTGGCTGGCCCAAAGAAAGCATTTAATGCTTCTCCTTCTTTGATGTGAACTAAGCAAAGCACTTTGTTCTTCAAAACAAGAGACTCAGGCCTAACATGCAAGGCAATGTACTTTTCTCTTATGGATTACTGAGAAAGAATTTACCGTATTTTTTGTTCTATAAGACTCACTTTTTCCCTCCTAAAAAGTAAGGGGAAATGTGTGTGCGTCTTATGGAGCGAATGCAGGCTGCGCAGCTATCCCAGAAGCCAGAAGAGCAAGAGGGATTGCTGCTTTCACTGCGCAATGATCCCTCTTGTTTCTGGCTTCTGAGATTCAGAATGTTTTTTTTCTTGTTTTCCTCCTCCAAAAATTAGGTGCGTCTTGTGGTCTTATAGAGCGAAAAATATGGTATAGCCTATTTAAGCGTTCAAAGCCTAAATTTAATTACAGACCAGACCGTAAAAATTCAGGACAATTACAACCCCAAAAATGGCCTCACCTGCAGCTCTACACCAAAGTAAACTGGGCAGAGCCCAGATGGTAAAGGGCTCCTATGAACCTTCCCAATGTAGCAGATGGTACCAGAGAAAGTCTGATGGTCTAGTTCCACAAAGATTCGCTGTCCCTGTTTGGCATTCATGGCTGCATCCAGAACATGCCTGTTCAGAAAACAGTTCAACCGTTCATGAATGTTGCTGATGGCTGAAAGATAATCAGCCATCTTGTCAGGCAAAGGCTGCAGAATTTCAGCATCCACAGTGACCACGGATCCATCTTGCTCCATGACAACCCTCAAGAAGCGAGTGGGTGACAATCTAATGCACCGCAAGTAAGACTGTTCGCTCAGGTAACACATACTCCCTGCAGGAAAAAATTTGCTGCCATAAGGGTGGTTTTCAGTCAGGATGTAATACATGTTCTTATCCCCATGGGAAGGCTGGTACATAGCTACAGTAGTCATCTTCACATTCCTTCAGTCCTAAAAAGGAAATTACACAATCATGTCATAGGGGAATTTAATAAACCTACTTTAGTCATTGAATAGAAGAAACAAATAATCTTAGGAATGCTTGCAGGTAATTCCTAGGCAATGAGAATAAGGAAGTGGGAAGACTCCCCATCATACTTCACATTTATCTCAACCATTTATTTATTTAGAACAGGAATGTTGAGAATTCTCTGGCAGATGCAAGAAATTAGCAGCAACCAACAAACCCCAATAAGCAATACCGCAGTCAAAACGTCATCAGTCACAAGTATACCTCCCCCAGCCCCCGGAGCACTTGCACTACAACTCCCACCAGCCCCAGCACCTAGAGGTTGCCCTACAAACTCCCACCAGTCAGCAGCACCCATCCAGGTTGGACTACAAGGCCGTGTGGAACCCAGAATTGGCCTCCACAGTCACTTACGGACTCATATTCTAAAAACTGTGTTTATGGAAGACAATCTTACTTGGCTACGAGGGATCGCCAAAGAAGAACAACTCCCACCATCCAGCAGCACCCAGAGGGTCTGGACATAATTCCCAGCAGTCAGCATGCACCCAGCGAATTGCACTACAACTCCTCCCAGCCAGCAGCACCCATCAAGTTTGAACTACAAACTCCCACCAGCCCTCAGTACCCTAAAGGTTGCCCTACAATCTCCCACCAGCCAGCAGCAACCAGCGAGACTGCCCTACAACTCCCCACCAGCCAGGCCCAGCACCCATCAAAAGCTGGACTACAACCCCACCAAGCCAGCAGGCACCCATGCAAGGTTGAAACTACACCTCCCACCAGCCCTAGGACCTAAAAGGGTTTGCCCTAGCCAACCCCACCAGTTGGCCTTAGCACCTAAAGGTTGCCCTACAACTCCCACCAGCCAGCAGCACCCATCAAGGCTGGACTACAACCTCCCACCTGCCCCAGCACCTAAAAGGTTGCGCCTACAACTCCCACCAGCTCCTGCACCTAAAAGTTGCCCTACAATCCCCACCAGCCAGCAGCACCCATCAAGGTTGAACTACAACTCCCACCAGCCCTAGCACCTAAAGGTTGCCCTACAACTCCCACCAGCCCTAGCACCTAAAGGTTGCCCTACAACTCCCACCAGCCAGCAGCACCCATCAAGGCTGGACTACAACTCCCACCTGCCCCAGCACCTAAAGGTTGCCCTACAACTCCCACCAGCTCCTGCACCTAAAAGTTGCCCTACAATCCCCACCAGCCAGCAGCACCCATCAAGGTTGAACTACAACTCCACCAGCCCTAGCACCTAAAGGTTGCCCTACAACTCCCACCAGCCCTAGCACCTAAAGGTTGCCCTACAACTCCCACCAGCTCCAGCACCTAAAAGTTGCCCTACAATCCCACCAGCCAGCAGCACCCATCAAGGTTGAACTACAACTCCCACCAGCCCTAGCACCTAAAGGTTGCCCTACAACTCCCACCAGCCCTAGCACCTAAAGGTTGCCCTACAACTCCCACCAGCTCCTGCACCTAAAAGTTGCCCTACAATCCCCACCAGCCAGCAGCACCCATCAAGGTTGAACTACAACTCCCACCAGCCCTAGCACCTAAAGGTTGCCCTACAACTCCCCAGCCCTAGCACCTAAAGGTTGCCCTACAACTCCACCAGCTCCTGCACCTAAAAGTTGCCTACAATCCCCACCAGCCAGCAGCACCCATCAAGGTTGAACTACAACTCCCACCAGCCCTAGCACCTAAAGGTTGCCCTACAACTCCCACCAGCCCTAGCACCTAAAGGTTGCCCTACAACTCCCACCAGCTCCTGCACCTAAAAGTTGCCCTACAATCCCACCAGCCAGCAGCACCCATCAAGGTTGAACTACAACTCCCACCAGCCCTAGCACCTAAAGGTTGCCCTACAACTCCCACCAGCCCTAGCACCTAAAGGTTGCCCTACAACTCCACCAGCTCCTGCACCTAAAAGTTGCCCTACAATCCCACCAGCCAGCAGCACCATCAAGGGTTGAACTACAACTCCCACCAGCCCTAGCACCTAAAGGTTGCCCTACAACTCCCACCAGCCCTAGCACCTAAAGGTTGCCCTACAACTCCCACCAGCTCCAGCACCTAAAAGTTGCCTACAATTCCCAGCAGTCAGCAGCACCCAGCGAGTTTGGACTACAACTCCCACCAGCCAGCAGCACCAGAGGGTTTGGACTATATTCCCACCAGCCAGCAGCACCCATCAAGGCTGGACTACAACTCCCACCAGCTCCTGCACTAAAGGTTGCCCTACAACTCCCACCAGCTCCTGCACCTAAAAGTTGCCCTACAATTCCCACCAGCCAGCAGCACCATCAAGGTTGAACTACAACTCCCAACCAGCCCTAGCACCTAAAGGTTGCCTACAACTTCCACCAGCTCCTGCACCTAAAAGTTGCCCTACAATTCCCACCAGCCAGCAGCACCCATCAAGGTGGCCCTACAAGGCGGTGTGGATCCAGAACTGGCCTCCACAGTCACTTACAGATTCATTGTTAAAACCTACAACTCCCACCAGCCAGCAGCACCCACCAAGGCTGGACTACAATTCCCAGCAGCCCCAGCACCTAAAAGTTGCCCTACAACTCCCACCAGCCAGCAGCACCCATCAAGGTTGGACTACAATTCCAGCAGCCAGCAGCACCCAGCGAGGTTGCGCTACAAGTCCCACCCGCTCCCCGTGGCCGTGCAGCCCCTCTGACGGGCCCCAGGTTGGCCAAGGCCGCGCTGGGAGGTCCGGCGGAGGCCCCTCTCCCCGCGGAGCCCCCCCCGCCCCCTGCCCTCCCTCGCAGGGCTGTTGTGAGGGTGGACCGGGGGGGCGGGGAGGAGCCTCCCCGGGGGAAACCTGGCAGGGAAACGGCAGCCCTGCGGGAGAGGAAGGCGGGGGCGCCGCGGGGTCCCTCACCTGCTCGCTCCGCTCGGCGACGGGCCCAGCCGGCGCCGAAGCCGTTCCCGTTTCGCTCTGAGGAAAGGCCATAGAGCGCAGGGGGCGGCCAGAGCGTCCACAGGAGGCCGTCGCCCACTTTTTTCCCTCAGGTCAATCCGCAGCCAGGGCCGCCTCAGCCGCCAATCGGAATGAAGGGGTGGGCGGCAAAGGAGCGGAGCTTGGCCAATCAAGAAAGGAGGAGTCGGAACGAGGAAGTTCAAGACGGAATCTGGGCTTGGCCAATGGGGAAACTCCAGTAGCGGCAGGGCAAATAAACACACACGCAGGCACCAGCGCGTTGTGCGCATGCGTGAGCCTTCACGTCAGGAGGTTTGGGCCGCGTTCTGCGGGCGCTTTCATCGCTTACGCTTCCCCCCGCCAAGGATTCTGGGAGTTGTAGTTTGCTGAGGCTGTTTAGCAGGCAACCTAAGGATAGGGGAACTGGAGTGCTACCTTTGCCAGACTGGGGAAACCCAGCCAGATGGGCGGGGTATAAATAATAAAATTATTATTACTATATGTGCCCCTTCCTGGCATGCCCTTCTCAAAGTGCTTTTGCCTCCCACTGGGATGATGTTATTTATTTAAAAATAAATTGCTTAAAACCTTCTTTGCAGATGACACCAAACTGGGAGGGGTGGCTAACACCCCAGAGGACAGGATCACACTTCAAAACGACCTTGACAGATTAGAGAACTGGGCCAAAACAAACAAGATGAACTTTAACAGGGAGAAATGTAAAGTATTGCACTTGGGCAAAAAAAATGAGAGGCACAAATACAAGATGGGGGACACCTGGCTTGAGAGCAGTACATGTGAAAAGGATCTAGGAGTCTTGGTTGACCACAAACTTGACATGAGCCAACAGTGTGACGCGGCAGCTAAAAAAGCCAATGCAATTCTGGGCTGCATCAATAGGAGTATAGCATCTAGATCAAGGGAAGTAATAGTGCCACTGTATTCTGCTCTGGTCAGACCTCACCTGGAGTACTGTGTCCAGTTCTGGGCACCACAGTTCAAGAAGGACACTGACAAACTGGAACGTGTCCAGAGGAGGGCAACCAAAATGGTCAAAGGCCTGGAAACGATGCCTTATGAGGAACGGCTAAGGGAGCTGGGCATGTTTAGCCTGGAGGTTAAGAGGAGGTTAAGGGGTGATATGATAGCCATGTTCAAATATATAAAAGGATGTCACATAGAGGAGGGAGAAAGGTTGTTTTCTGCTGCTCCAGAGAAGTGGACACGGAGCAATGGATCCAAACTACAAGAAAGAAGATTCCACCTAAACATTAGGAAGAACTTCCTGACAGTAAGAGCTGTTTGACAGTGGAATTTGCTGCCAAGGAGTGTGGTGGAGTCTCCTTCTTTGGAGGTCTTTAAGCAGAGGCTTGACAACCATATGTCAGGAGTGCTCTGATGGTGTTTCCTGCTTGGCAGGGGGTTGGACTCGATGGCCCTTGTGGTCTCTTCCAACTCTATGATTCTATGATTCTTGAATAGCCAGTTGCTTTAATTAATGCTTTGCATTGCTTTTAAGTGTTTCTGTGTTGCTGCACGCTCCCTGATGTTTTGCAACAGGGCGATATATAAATATTAACTTGGGTATAACTGTAAACTGTTTATTATTGTTGCTATTATTGGTTTCTATTGATTTATTGCTTTGTTTGTTGCTTGTATAGGATATTTTGTTTTTTAATGTTTGATGCTTGGTTGTGTTTTTTATGTATGTTGTAAGCCACCCAGAGTGGCTGGGGAAACCCAGCAAGGTGGATGGGATATAATTTTTTAAAAATTATTATCATTATTTGTTTTAAAAAACGCTTCATGCATACTCGGATGATGTTTGCGTGTGGTGATACGCAGAAACATTTCTTTTCCATGACACTAATGTAGACTACAGAACAAAGTCCGTTGCTCCACCCAATTTCCTTCCGGCCCTCCCTGCCATTGGCATGCGGCCCCAGGAAAGTTGCTGATGAGGTAAAGAGACCCAACAGCAGAAAAGTCACCACCCCCTGCAAAGAATCAGGTAGCAAAAAAATGTGGTTTTTTCCCTTCCCCCTACCTGCCGCTTGGGGGCACCAGAGCCTCCCAACAGCTTTCCTTAATCATTGTTAATTTCTCTATAAAACGCAATTGTGAAATGCCAAGTGCCTTTTGCACCATAGGCTGCCAGGACACCCTGTCAAAATTTCCCCTGGGGCAGTTTCCTTCACACTCCCAGCATATTCAGAGTGCAAATCAGGGACAACAGAAGGAGCTCAGTTCCAGCTAAAGTACTTTTGCAAGCTCTGCAATCAGGATGCGAGCAGAATCAAGGCCAGTGAGAGAGAAATTCATGCAGTGCTTTACATTAAGCCAGAATCCACAACTTACTTAGGAATCTGTCCTCTGTTCCAGAACTCCACAGCCCTGGAATCTCAACACTAGCAATGAATATTTGATTGAGCATGTGCAGAGGCCACCCAAAAGGTCTAGAAGTACCCTAAGTTATCTGAATGCACCCTGGTGCAAGGACTAACTGCTTCATAATAATGTATAAAACGCTGAGAATTTGCAAGGGGGGTACACTAGGAAAGGGCTTTCTATTTTAAGAGAAATGCAGCTGTGTCCCCTTCCTTCTCCCTTCCCTCCCCACGGTCTATCCTTTCAGGCCCCCTAAGCAGTCAATCTGGTGTACTGCCAATTCTTAGTCAGCACCCACACGTTCAGGAACGCTGAAAACGACCCAAGTGAAGACAAGCAAATACTTTCAAGGGGGAAACAATGCAAGTTTATTTCCTGATGGATTCTCCAAAGTACAATATGAAGGAAACGACAATCATAATGGAACTCCGCGATAAACAACCACCCATGACTTGTGGGGTGTATAAAAGGTACCCCAAAAGAGATGACCCACATGGGAGATGACGCCCAGGGAACAAGATGGCAGCAAAGTTCCCAAGCCCCAAAGCTTGCAGCTGGAACAGCTGGAATCGCCGTGTCCATTGAAGCCCCATGCTTTGCACTGTCCGCCCTCCCTCACTTCTGCCCTGGATATGCCTACTCGTCTTCACTTCCTTCTTGGTCATCCTTGTCCCCGGTATTTCTCGCCTCCCACTCTCCACTTCCTCCTTGGTCATCCTTTTCCGGAGCAGCCTTCTCCTGCCCTTCTCCCCCCCGGGGGGCCCTGGTGACAGGGATGTTTGTCACCTTGGGAGCAGTCGGGGCCTTGCGTGGGACCTGGAAGCAGAGCTTCCCGTCGTGGGTCAACGTGCAGGTCACGGCGTCGAGATCGGCATCTTCCGGCAGGAGAACTTCCCTGAGGACCTCTCTGTGATCGTGGAAAACGAGGTCATCTTCCGACCTGGTCTTCTTCTTGTGCTTCCCGGACACCGTCAGCTTCCTCCCGTCCATCTTCACGGTCAGCTCGTCCGCCAAAAACCCGGCCATGTCCAGGCAGAGCTGGAACGTGATGTTGTTCTCCTGGAAGCTGACTTTGGGGGCAAGGCTGGGGCTGCCCTGCCCTTCCTGGCCTGGGGCTGCCCAGGAGACGTGGGGATAGCTACCTGCAGGCAAGACCCTCGGCCTCCCCATCTCATCCACCTGCGGCTGCGCAAAGAGGTTCTGGGGATAGCTACCTGCAGGCAAGACCCTCGGCCTCCCCATCTCATCCACCTGCGGCTGCGCAAAGAGGTTCTGGGGATAGCTACCTGCAGGCAAGACCCTCGGCCTCCCCATCTCATCCACCTGGGGCTGCGCAAAGAGGTTCTGGGGATAGCTACCTGCAGGCAAGAACATCGGCCTCCCCATCTCATCCACCTGGGGCTGCGCAGAGAGGTTCTGCGGAACCTCCAGCCACCTGTAGCCGCTTCTTGGATCTCTGCTGTAAAGCTGCGGGGAGATGAGGTTGGACCCCGGATAACCCCCGAGCTGCAGCCCTCCGCGTCTCGATAAGCTTAGCATAGCTCAGAAGGACGGTCTGTTTCTCTCTCTCTGGGCTCTGGGTGCCTGCAGTGTCTCTTTCCGCTCCGGCGTCTGTCTCTGACAAGCTTCAGAGCCTCCTTTTATCCTCTGCAGTGGCCTTCCAGACATTTCTGGAGCCTTCCTCTTCTGTTGTTCCTGGCGCTGGCAAGATGACCTTGACTCACAGATATGTGCCAAGAGATAGAAACACCATCCAGAAACTTCCAACACATATTCATCAGCCGCCGGCCTCTCCCAAAAGCTCCTGGCTATTCCTGCCCTCACCTGGAGAGCATTCCTTCTTTCAATTTTCTGCTGGTTGTTTGCATGCTTTTTCGATGTCCCACGATCATATTATAAAGTAGTTGCGTTCTATCTTGTAAACCAAGCACTGATAGTTGTTGTTTCTTTCTGTTTTCCAGGGCATTTCTCATCAAGAAAAAAACTGGAGCGGCGCACACAATTTTTTATTCTGAATGTGCGACCCAGATAAAAAGTTTAAGATGCAGTGCTATAGCCTGACAACCCCTATTTCAATGTATTTCAATTAATTGATTGTGATTTTATGTAAATTGTGTTATTTTTACTATTGTTAGCTGCTCTGAGCCCAGCTTCGGCTGGGGAGGGCAGGAAATTTTATTATTATTATTATTGTTATTTCCTCTTGCCTGATAAAAAGCAAATGCCTGAGAGAATAAGCCCATCCAAAAGGGCTACTTGATCATATGATGGAAGTTTTGTGGGCAGTTTCTGCTTTTAACTGAAAATAAAACCATGCTTTTTTGCACATGGTGGTGCAAGGCAGGGCCATGGACAGCATTTATATTCTAACACCTTAGAAACTAGATATTCAGCTCTTGGCTGAAAATTTAGGACACCCCTCCACACACACAAAAAAGCATCCAGAACACCCAACAAAATTTCAGGGTCAACTGGAAGAGGTCCTTTCCTTTCTGAGCGTAGGACTCTCATTTGGCAGGACATAGGAACAAGTTTCTCTGACGGGATCAAATTCATAGAATCATAGAATCATAGAGTTGGAAGAGACCACAAGGGCCATCGAGTCCAACCCCCTGCCAAGCAGGAAACACCATCAGAGCACTCCTGACATATGGTTGTCAAGCCTCTGCTTAAAGACCTCCAAAGGAGGAGACTCCACCACACTCCTGGGCAGCAAATTCCACTGTCGAACAGCTCTTACTGTCAGGAAGTTCTTCCTAATGTTTAGGTGGAATCTTCTTTCTTGTAGTTTGGATCCATTGCTCCGTGTCCGCTTCTCTGGAGCAGCAGAAAACAACCTTTCTCCCTCCTCTATGTGATATCCTTTTATATATTTGAACATGGCTATCATATCACCCCTTAACCTCCTCTTCTCCAGGCTAAACATGCCCAGCTCCCTTAGCCGTTCCTCATAAGGTATCGTTTCCAGGCCTTTGACCATTTTGGTTGCCCTCCTCTGGACACGTTCCAATTTGTCAGTGTCCTTCTTGAACTGTGGTGCCCAGAACTGGACACAGTACTCCAGGTGAGGTCTGACCAGAGCAGAATACAGTGGCACTATTACTTCCCTTGATCTAGATGCTATACTCCTATTGATGCAGCCCAGAATTGCATTGGCTTTTTTAGCTGCCGCGTCACACTGTTGGCTCATGTCAAGTTTGTGGTCAACCAAGACTCCTAGATCCTTTTCACATGTACTGCTCTCAAGCCAGGTGTCCCCCATTTCATGTCCTTCTATAGGCTGCAATCCTTATTGCACACTTATTTACTTAGCAAACAGGGTTTATATGCCACTTAAAGTATACCAATAGAATTGGGGGTGAAAAGACAAGTTAATCTGTTTCCCCCTAAAATATAAATAAAATCACAAGTTTGAAAAATAAGGATTTTATAAGACAGTGTCGCCTGTTAAAATGCATGTCAAATTCACTCATTAACGGGACTTCCTTCTGAGTAACAGGGTCGTTCTACCAAAATCCTAAACGAAGACTAGGATTGATTTTTGCAAAAAATAAAATAAAATAAAATCTCCACTATTACACAGTGAGGAGACAGTAGCCCTTCTTGACAGTTTCATAATTTGCAGTCTACAGCTGCATGTACAAGCATCCCCAACGCTCTCTACTTGCAGTTAAAGCAGTTGTGCAGAAGTCTCCAGGCTTTATGGCACCCCTAATATCTGTTGTGAGGTGCTTTGGGCACTCTGTAGTGTGGAAAAGTGGCAAACACGGTAAGTACAGTACATTAAGCTAAAAGGAGGCAACATCTTCCAGTGACTGGTGCAAAGCTACGTTTGGGGGAGAAAACCCAAGCGTTTCCAGGAATACGAAATGTGTTGCCTGCAGATGTAATCCCAATCATTTCTTTGCCTCCTGCTCTCCTGAAGATAACTGCAAATGGACATGCATAGCAAAAACGTGGACGCAGTTCTTTTTTAAAAAAAAAAATGCAAATACCCTGAAATACCTTCAATGCAGCTGTAAGCAGCCTTCTCTCACGTTATTGCAGGGGGAAAATGCTTTTTTGCAAAATACCGATGTCAGCACAACTTATATTTTAAAAAGTGATGTTGCATTTATTGTTTGCAACAATTGCCTGGGCGAGCAGGCGGGCTGTCTATATGCACTTTACTTGCACTCCCGTCTAGCCCCCTTGAAAACGGCTGCTTTTATTTGCAGAAGGGCGCAACACGGACAAGCGTGCTGCCAAAGTCCCAAACACTTAAACGGGGCGCGGGACCTAAAGGGGCTCAACTTTGGCTTCGCAATAGCAGCACCGCCGCTTGCAAACCGAGGGTGCAGGACAGCGCGCAAAAGCTCTGGCGCTGCAGACCCGACGGCGAGCGCGCCCGTTTTGCAAGGAGAGCCCGGGCAGCCAAGCAGCCGCGCTTCTCCCACCTCCTCCTCGCTCCGGGCCGCGGCTGGCAGCTGCCTGGGCTCCTCCCCCCGTCGAGAAGGCGCCAAAAGCCCGGGGAGAGTCCCGTCGGGGCGGGCAGGCGAAGCGAGGGAGCCGCTTTGGCCCGAGGTTCGCCCGACGGCCGCGCATGGCGAGCTTCTCCCGGGACTGCCGCCCCCGGCGCGCCCTGGCGCGCACGTCGGGCCGGGACTCCTGCGTCCAGTACGTGCCGGTGGGTATGCCCCCTCGGAGCCTGCTGGACCAGCTGGTGGTGGACATGCAGAACCACTTGGAGGAGATGGAGAAGATGCGCGTGGTGCTGGTGGACGCGTACCCGTGCCTGGCCACGCGGCGCGAAGGCCGACGGCGAAGGAGCCGCGGCAGGAAACTCGACAGGCGCTGCCTGGACGACGACGAGGACGAGGACGACGGCACCAGCGACTACCTGTACTCCCTGGACGTGACCGGCTTCGAGCCCGAGGAGCTGTCGGTGAAGGTGGAAGGCAGGAAGCTGACGGTGAGCGCCAAGCACGACAAGAAAACCGAGGGGACGGACGGCTGCGTCTCGCACGAGTTCCGCGAGGTGCGCAAGGAGGTCTTGCTCCCCGGAGATGCCAACATCGAGGCGCTGGCTTGCAACTTCTCCTCCGAGTTGGGGTGTCTCAGCATCGAGGCGCCGCGCCTGGTCCCCAAGTCCGTCGGGGAGAGGACCATCCCCATCACCATCCTCAAGGCTTCCGACGCCGCCGGGACGGCGAAAGAGAGCCTGCCTCCGGCGGAGAAGGAGGAGAAGGAGGAGGAGAAGGAGAAGGATAAATCCAAATCCAAATCGCGTTCTTCCAGCCCGGAGAAAGGAGCTGCCGTCTGAAAAAGTTGCCCGACAGTTCCTCGCGCGGCACTTCCCTTCGGGGATGCTGTGAAAGCGCTTTGCGCCTCTTTGGGGTCTCTGTTTAAGGAGCGGTTCTGGTTTCGTTCAGTTCAAGTGCGTTGTTATTTGTGCTTGTTTGGTGAAAAGTAACTTCACAAAAGTACAAGGAAAAGATGATCTGCAAGGCCTTCTGGCAACCGTTGTTGCATGTTGACTTTTGAAACCTTTATTCCTGCTTGCCGACGCTTTTGAAAAATGTGAACCCAAAGAGTTGAGCATTTATTGGCGTGTTTGTTGGCTTGTTTCAATAAATTAGACTTCTATTATCTGGTTTCTCGTTTGGTGTTTTTAATTTTATTTTAGGGGGGAATTGCATTAAAAGCTTGAAAAAGCTGGCTGGAGTTGAAAGAGGGCCACTTTTTAAAGAGTTCAGAATGAATCCCAGGAGCAGGGGAGGGGTGTATCTGCTTGTGTGGCTGTTACTGGGTTATTTGGGATCAAAAGTCTCCAGCCCCATAAAGGAATAGGATGGACAAGCCTGCTAGTATAGCCCAGGGGTACAATTTCTGCCTGGCGTGCCAGCGATCCCTGTCTGCTGAACTTGGAGAGGGCCCTGCTTGAAAAGCTGCCATGGTGGTCCAGATCTTTATCTCTCTCTCCCCCCAACTTTGACAGGTGAGTGGGACCATCCACCTGTCGATCACCTGGCAGCCCACCTGGTTCAGTCCTCCTCAGCGCAGGTATCAACTGTGCACATTGAACCTGCCCATCAAGGTGCTCTCACCGGATTCCACTCCTCAAAATGGAACTTGAATTCACATTTGGTTCACCTAGCAATTGTGGGAACTGCTTTCAAGTGAAGAAGAGTTTGGATTTGATATCCCGCTTTATCACTACCCGAAGGAGTCTCAAAGCGGCTCACAATCTCCTTTCCCTTCCTCCCCCACAACAAACACTCTGTGAGGTGAGTGGGGCTGAGAGACTTCACAGAAGTGTGACTGGCCCAAGGTCACCCAGCAGCTGCATGTGGAGGAGCGGGGAAGCGAACCCGGTTCCCCAGATTATGTGACTACCGCTCTTAACCACTACACCACACTGGCTCCAGGATAAGTTCAGGAGACCTGGGAGACAGGGGTTCACATCCGGTGAAGTCCACTTAGGTGACCTTGAGACAGCCACTAATTCTGGGCCTAGCTGACTTCACATCTGTGGTGAGGACAAAATGAGAACTATGCGTGCCTTATTCCTTTGGGGAAAGGTACGCAACACAAGCGTCATTCCGCCAAACTCATTCCAAGTACCGTTTGCAAAGAACGGCTTGTTCTTTGGACATGCGGTCGCACATCTTTTGATGTTGAAGTCGCCCTGCTGGTTTTTGGAAAAGGCGATGCCTTTATTTGCAAAGGGTGGGTGAAAGGCAGAACAAAGTTTTGAAACTTTGGAGATCAAACCAGTTCAAGAAGGACACTGACAAACTGGAACGTGTCCAGAGGAGGGCAACCAAAATGGTCAAAGGCCTGGAAACGATGCCTTATGAGGAACGGCTAAGGGAGCTGGGCATGTTTAGCCTGGAGAAGAGGAGGTTAAGGGGTGATATGATAGCCATGTTCAAATATATAAAAGGATGTCACATAGAGGAGGGAGAAAAGTTGTTTTCTGCTGCTTCAGAGAAGCGGACACGGAGCAATGGATCCAAACTACAAGAAAGAAGATTCCACCTAAACATTAGGAAGAACTTCCTGACAGTAAGAGCTGTTCGACAGTGGAATTTGCTGCCAAGGAGTGTGGTGGAGTCTCCTCCTTTGGAGGTCTTTAAGCAGAGGCTTGACAACCATATGTCAGGAGTGCTCTGATGGTGTTTCCTGCTTGGCAGGGGGTTGGACTCGATGGCCCTTGTGGTCTATTCCAACTCTATGATTCTATGAAACCACTCGCCCCAACGCTGCTTCCAAAACCAAGCGTGAAAAGATGGCAGCTTTCCCTGGTTTCTCAGGGCATTTTGAAACTCGCATTTCAGTGCCATGGTAAAGAGCCAGCAAAGATACTTAAATCGGGTTGCGGGGAATCTTTGGGCCCCTAGATATTTCTGAACCCCCATCTCTGGTCGCTTGCGGTGCTTGCTGGGGATGATGGGAGTTGTAGTTCGGCAACATTGGTCAAAGCTTCTCCACCAGTAACTTGACTAAACTCACAGTTTCCCCAACAGCTGTGGGTGCAAATCAGTTATTTCTCCATCTTGCCAGGGCAGAACCTAATCCATAGCAAAAACCACATATTTCGAATCCACATTGCAACAGACAGACAGATATACACGTCTAGAATAAGGATTGCACAATTTATTTCTCTTGCGTACAGAAATTTATATGCATTTATTTGAAAGCGGTACGATTTCCCCTAAAGACTGGTGCAATTTGATCGTTAAGCCACACGCAAAAATTAAGAGGAGCATACATGCGGTCCAGTATGTTCTCATACAGGTATAAAAGCCAGGATTGCTAACATTCAAGGCACTGTTAAATCTGTCTATGCCACAATAGGTTAGTCCTATTTGGATGCTCCTGTTTAGAATCGCAGCCCACCTCTGTCATCAAACTCAGGTGGTTGGTGGCAGCAGCAGCAGCAGCAATGGAGTCAGAACAGGACCCGCGAGGAACGAGAGGGGTGTCTCTTAATGAAAGATTTGCAGTAGTACGTTGGTGGGCAGGGGGACACAAACACATAAACCCAGCCCAGTAAGAACCGAGCATGTTCAGCGGGTGCCATGGAACGTCAAATGTCCATTGGAAAAGGAAAATGGGTGCCAGGGACAGATTGCAGGGCAGATTCGAGGGTAAAGTCCTAGGCTCTGTGGTTTAACCCACAGCGCCACCCGCATGGATCTCTACTATTTCAGAAAGTTCAGTCTTTTTTGTGCCGGGGTGTGTGTGTGTGTGTGTGTGTGTGTGTGTGTGTGTGTGTGTGTGTGGAGTTTGCTGTGTAAGGCCTCCCAAACAACTTGTGTAACCCGAATCTGCCAGCAGGTGATTTGAGTCCCACTGGAAAATAGCAACCAGCCTGCAATTGCCCTGAACTGAATTCTACCTGCAGAAACCTGTCCTGCAGGTGCTCCTCAAGCTCTGCATTTATGAGGTTTGCTCCCAGCCCCCAGCCCCCAATTCCCACACTGCAGTGTGCAATACATTCCTAGACAGATCCGTTGAGTGCAAAGGGGCACTTTCAGTTCTTAAGGCACAGGAAAGGTGCTGCGTCTGTAGGTGATGAGGCGGCGGTGGTGGTGGTTTGGAGCAGGATCCGAGGCACGATGCAGAGGGGGTGCTGCCGCCGCCCCCCACTCCTGGGCACAGGAAAAGGCTTTGCGGGTTACTGGCTCCCTCTCTGGAGATCAAGGAGAAGCCGGTGGAGCTTTTCTGTCACAGCCACCTGAGAGCAGGAAAAGTTGAGAAAGAGGGATCACAGAATTGTAGGAGATGGAAGGGAACCCCAAGGACCAGCTAGGCCAGGGGTCAGCAAACTTTTTCAGCAGGGGGCCGGTCCACCATCCCTCAGACCTTGTGGGGGGCCGTACTATATTTTGAAAAAAATAATGGAACGAATTCCTATGCCCCACAAATAACCCAGAGATGCATTTTAAATAAGAGCACACATTCTACTCATGGAAAAATACCAGGCAGGCCCCACAAATAACCCAGAGATGCGTTTTAAATAAAAGGACACATTCTACTCATGTAAAAACATGCTAATTCCTGGACCGTCTGCGGGCCAGATTGAGAAGGCAATTATAATTATAATTATAAATATATATATATATATATATATACACACACACACACACACACACACACACACACACATACCCCGCCCATCTGGCTGGGCTTCCCCAGCCACTCTGGGCGGTTTCCAAAAAAAAATATGTAATACATCAAACATTAAAAGCTTCCCTAAAGCCAGATCTAGCCCCCGGGCCTTAGTTTGCCTACCCATGATCTAGGCAAACCTCCTTGCAATGCAGGAATATGCAGCCGCCCCATATGGGGATTCGAACCTGCAACCTTGGCGTTCTCAACACCACACTCTAACCAGCTGAGCTATCCAGGCAGGGAAGGAGTGCTTCGGCTCAGCAGGAGGGCCCAGGATCTGCACTGGGGTGGGTTCGATCCCTGGGTTCAATCCCTTTCCACCCTCCCAGCAGATGTGAAGGAAATAAGCAGCTATTTTATCTTTAAAAGACATCTGAAGGCAGCCCTGTTCAGGGAAGTTTTTAATATTTAATGCTGTATTGTTTTTAACACTCGATTGGGAGCTGCCCAGAGTGGCTGGGGAAACTCAGCCAGATGGGCAGGGTATAAATCATAATCATAATCCACATTAAGAGATTCTGAATCGGGTTCGTTAGGCCTCTTTGTACCTTGTAGGTCTCCGCGTCCTTCAGTCTCTTGTGCGCAGGGTTGAGCTTGTTCAGCGAGGCCTGCGCATGGTCCTTGATCTCCACAAGGCTGGGGAGTGGCTGGCAGACCTTTGTGGTGGGAAAGGCAGAAGGAAAGCATTTCAAAATGTTCAGGAATTGGGAATAAAACCATAAGAGCAGACCAAAATCCCATCTAATTCAGGAGCTGGGGACTGTCTTCCAACCAGAGGCGATCCCAAGACATCTTGGCTGCCTGAGGCAAAGAACAATATGGTGCTGGGGAGAGAGAATCACAGAATTGTAGAGTTGGAAGGGACCCCGAGGGTCATCTAGTCCAACCCACTGAAATGCAGGAATCTTAGCAAAAGCATCCCGGACCAATGACCATCCAATCTCTGCTTAAAAACCTGCAGAGAAGGAGAGGCCAACAGCTCATACTGCAATGAAGTTCTGCCTGATTTTTAGTCACAAACTCCTTTCTTTATATTGGGGTTCAATACCCAATATCCTGGGACGCGGGTGGCGCTGTGGGTAAAACCTCAGTGTCTAGGACTTGCCGATCGTAAGGTCGGCGGTTCGAATCCCCGCGGCGGGGTGAGCTCCCGTCTTTCGGTCCCAGCTCCTGCCCACCTAGCAGTTCGAAAGCACCCTTAAGTGCAAGTAGATAAATAGGGACCGCTTTATAGCGGGAAGGTAAAGGCGTTTCCGTGTGCGGCGCTGGTGCTGGCTCGCCAGACGCAGCTTCGTCACACTGGCCACGTGACCCGGAAGTGTCTTCGGACAGCGCCGGCTCCCGGCCTCTTGAGCGAGATGAGCACGCAACCCCAGAGTCGGACACGACTGGCCTGTACGGGCAGGGGTACCTTTACCTTTTTACCCAATATCCTGATAGTCAATAATGCAATCATCAGTCAATCAGGAGGTTTATTTAGCATTGCAATGGATGCATGACACTTAACCCTGCTTAGGAAGACAGGAAGGTGTTATTCAGGGTACAAGACATAGCAATCTTTTAAATATTTTAAGCATCCCCGAATAACAGCTGTTCTGCCCGGTTTAGTCACGTGGCACAACAACGGCTGACAGAGAAACTGCTTTCTTCCTCCAGCTCTCTGCACCCAAACTGACCACTCAAATGAGAACTGGGATCTTCTACGAGTCCCGAAATATTTTATTTCTCTCTCATTTGGGCTCTGACCCCACCCTGGCCAGAAAGCACAAGGCTCTATGCCGCAGGCTGGCATAATTATTGTTATTTATTGAATTTCTATACCGCCCTATACTTGGGGGTCTCAGAGAAAAATCAAAATATAAAACCACAAAATACATAATAAAATGAAAAACAGCAACCCAATAGCCCGTTCCCCCCCAAAAAACAAATTTAAAAGGGCATCAGATCAATGTTTTTGCTTGGCGCCTAAAGGTATATAATGAAGGCGCCAGGTGAACTTCCCTGGAGAGAGCATTCCACAAACGGGGAGCCACTGCAGAGAAGGCCCCGTTCTTGTGTTGCCAGCTTCTGGACCTCTCGAGGAGGAGGCACACAAATTAGGGACTCAGAAGATGATCTCAGCATCCGGGTATATTATTATGGAAAGAGGCGGTTCTTGAGGTATTGCGGTCCTGAGCCGTTTAAGGCTTTACAGGTCAAGACCAGCACTTTGAATTGGGCCCGGAAACTAACTGGCAGCCAGTGCATTGGTGTAATAGGCTTAAACTGTCTTGCTCTGGAGAGCTTCCTGGCCGCTGAATTCTGCACCGGCTGAAATTTCCAAACCGTCTTCAGAGGCAGCCCTAAATGCAAAGCAACATCGGACCACATGAAGTCTTGCAAAGAAAGGACCGCAAGGGTCTTCCTCCCCACCTGCCCATCTTTGAGGTAGACGCGGTTCAGCATTTCGACTGCTGAAGGAGTCACTTTTCCAGCTTCCTGGGTCGTTCCCACCAGCCAGAAGTCCACCTCCTGCCCGGCCCTTGGAGGAGGTTCTTTTTCCAAAGTCATGAGATCCATGCACGGGAATCCTGCAAGCGAAAGAAGGGCAGGATCATGACCCAAAGAGAGGAATGAGAGTGAAAGGCCAGGTATAGAACCACATAATTGTAGAGTTGGAAGGAACCCCCAAGGGTTAGCTATAATAATAATAATAATAATAATAATAATAATAATAATAATAATAATTTATTATTTATACTCTGCCCATCTTACTGGTTTCCCCTGCCACTCTGGGCGGCTTCCAACAGAACACTAAAATATAATAACCTATTAAACATTAAAAGCTTCCCTAAACAGGGCTGCCTTCAGATGTCTTCTAAAAGTTTGGTAGTTGTTGTTCTCTTTGACATCTGGTGGGAGAGTGTTCCACAGGGCAGGTGCCACCACCAAGAAGGCCCTCTGCCTGGTTCCCTGTGATTTTGCTTCTCGCAGTGAGGGAACAGCCAGAAGGCCCTCGGCGCTGGACCTCAGCGTCCAGGCAGAACGATGGAGGTAGAGACGCTCCTTCGGGTTTACTGGACCGAGGCTGTTTAGGGCTTTCAAGGTCAGCACCAACACTCTGAATTGTGCTCAGAAACATACTGGGAGCCAATGTAGGTCTTTCAGGACTGGTGTTGTGTGGTCTCGGCAGCCGCTCCCAGGCACCAGTCTAGCTGCCGCATTCTGGATTAGATGTAGTTTCTGGGTCACCTTCAAAGGTAGCCCCACGTAGAGCGCACTGCAGTAGTCCAAGCGGAAGATAACCAGAACATGCACCACTCTGGCCAGTCCAACCCCGGCAATAGAGGAATCACAGCTAAAGACTCCCCGACAGATGGTCCCCCAAGTCCACAGCTGAATGGCTCTTAGCCCCAGAAAGTTCTTCCAAATGTTTAGTCAGAATCTCCTTTCTTGTCACCTGAACCCATGGGTTCGAATCCTACCTTTCAGAGCAGGAGAAAACAAGCTTGTTCCATCCTCCATGCGGCATCCTTTTGGATAGCTAAAGAAGGCCTATCCCATCTCCTCTCAGTCTCCTCTCCTCCAGGATAAACATACCCAAATCCCTCAACCGTTCCTCATAAGGTATTTTAAGCAGAGGTTGGGTGGCCAACTGTCATGGATGTTTAGCTGAGATTCCTACATAGCACGGGGTTGGGCTAGATGACCCTCGGGTCCCTTCCAACTCAATTCTACGATTCTTTGATTTCCAACCAAGCAGAAATACTTGAGGAAGGAACACTGATAGAGAACTATTTGCCCTCTAGACCTGAAGACTTCTGTTAGACCTCTGGGCCTAACACCCCTTTGGTGTTACACCTCCTTCTGTCGGGCCTGTAAGACAGAGCTATTCCGCCTGGCCTTTAATTTGAATTCAGACTGATCTTTTATTTCCCTTCCCTCCCCTTTTATGAAGATCACCCGCTCTGAGACCCCATAGCTATTTCTGCCCTGGTCTCCTCGCTGGCTGAAGTAGGACCAATTCAGCCAGCTAGTCCTGGGGACTATCTAATGCTTATTTCCCCTAAATTGATTTCTGAATTTTGAATTTTATTGTTATTCATGTTTTTATACTGTATTTTATGCTGCTTTTACAATTAAGTGTTTTAAATTTGTTTTTAGCTGCCCTGAGCCTGGTTTTTGAACTGGGAAGGGCGGGGTATAAATAATAATAATAATAATAATAATAATAATAATAATAATAATTATTATTATTATTATTATTATTATTATTATTAGACCGAGAGCAATGGACTCTGAGAACAGAAGGAATCTCCTTTATCCCATGTTCGAAAACCAGGCCCCAAAATCTCACCTCCGGCATCCCAGAGCCTGTAGACTCGCTTGATTCCAGGTAAGGTTGTCTTCTCTTTGTCTTCCGTCACCTTCAGTCTCGGGGAACCGTTCACCTCCACCAGCTATGGACAGAGAGACAGGCAGTTGTTCATGGAAGCAACCTGGTTTTCGTTTAGGATAATGGCAATAGCGATGGAGGGAAGGATGGGGAGACAGGACGGGGGCAGGCAGGCAGGCAAATGCACGGCGGGATTATGTGGGCCACCCTATTAAATACGGTGCTCAGGCGGAATCTCTTTCAAGGAATCAAATCTACTTGTTGTTCTTTGCAGTTCCTGGAGCTTTAAAGCAATCCGGTGCTGATAGTGAGAATTAAGGAGCAGAGAGAGGTGGCAGGCAGGCAGGTAAATTTGGTGGGTGGGGAGGAAGAGGTATCATATAGAACCCAAGGCTCCCGGAATAGTTTATATTTGGATACCATTAATGTGGCAGTAAGGGATGCGGGTGGTGCTGTGGGTTAAACCACAGAGCCTAGGACTTGCCGATCAGAAGGTCAGCGGTTCGAATCCCCGCGACGGAGTGAGCTCCCATTGCTCGGTCCCTGCTCCTGCCAACCTAGCAGTTCGAAAGCTCGTCAAAGTGCAAGTAGATAAATAGGTACCGCTCCGGCGGGAAGGTAAACGGCGTTTCCGTGCGCTGCTCTGGTTCGCCAGATGCGGCTTAGTCATGCTGGCCACATGACCCGGAAGCTGTACGCCAGCTGCCTTGGCCAATAAAGCTAGATGAGCGCTGCAACTCCAGAGTCGGCCATGACTGGACCTAATGCTCAGGGGTCCCTTTACCTTTAATGTGGCAGTAAAAATTCTTTTTTTGCACCCAAGGTGCTCTTATGCTGCACAGGGTGAGATTAGGAAGGAAATGCAGGCTGCTGAAATGTGAAAAGCTTTGCCTTCGTTAAAGGAAGAAGAAGCAATCTTCTAGTCAGAGCCAGTGTGGTGTAGTGGTTAAGAGCGGTAGTCTGCTAATCTGGGGAACCGGGTTCACGTCTCCGCTCCTCCACATGCAGCTGCTGGGTGACCTTGGGCCAGTCACACTTCTCTGAAGTCTCTCAGCCTCACTCACCTCACAGAGTGTTTGTTGTGGGGGAGGAAGGGAAAGGAGAATGTTAGCCGCTTTGAGACTCCTTAAAGGGAGTGTAAGGCGGGATATCAAATCCAAACTCTTCTTCTTCTTCTTCTAGTCCTCAAGATTTAAAAATGTGCAGGAAGCTTTTGCTAGTGGTTTAGAAAGGTAGAGCTTCTATACAACATCTGGGTGCTGCATAGCGATCATCCTCCATGACCCGAAGGATAGATTTCTATGGATCTGAGTTAGGGGATCAAATACGCTATTTCAACGAGAGAGAGAGAGAGAGAGAGAGAGAGAGAGAAACAGAAGAAGAAGAAGAGGAGGAGGAGTTTGGATTTGATATCCCGCTTTATCACTACCCGAAGGAGTCTCAAAGCGGCTCACATTCTCCTTTCCCTTCCTCCCCACAACAAACACTCTGTGAGGTGAGTGGGGCTGAGAGACTTCAGAGAAGTGTGACTGGCCCAAGGTCACCCAGCAGCTGCATGTGGAGGAGCGGAGACACGAACCCGGTTCCCCAGATTACAAGTCTATTGCTCTTAACCACTACACCACACTGGCTCTCAGAAAGAGACCCAGCCCAAGTCCTCCTTTAATACCTCAACTGCTAGTAGATAATGCTTTTATTGGCCTTTGGCAACCTTTGGACTACAACTCCCATCAGCCACAGCCAGTCATGCTGGCTGTGGCTGATGGGAGTTGTAGTCCAAAACACCTGGAAGGCCCCAGCTTGCCAAAAGCTGGCTTATACATTTGCAAAATTCTGTCTCCCAATGCATCCCCGTTTCTGAAAAGCTACCATAAAGAAGGCTGATCGCCGAAGAATTGACGCTTTTGAGGTGCTGGAGGAGACTCTTGAGAGTCCCATGGACTGCAAGAAGATCAAACGCATCCATTCTTAAGGAAATCAGCCCTGAGTGCTCACTGGAAGGACAGATTGTGAAGCTGAGGCTCCAAGACTTTGGCCACCTCATGAGAAGAGAAGACTCTCTGGAAAAGACCCTGGTGTTGGGAAAGATGGAGGGCACAAGGAGAAGGGGACGGCAGAGGACGAGATGGTTGGACAGTGTTCTCGAAGCTACCAGCATGAGTTTGACCAAACTGCGGGAGGCAGTGGAAGACAGGAGTGCCTGGCGTGCTCTGGTCCAGGGGGTCACAAAGAGTCGGACATGACTAAATAACAACAACATCACGCCAGCAGGCTCATAAAGGTTACTCTCTTTCCCCCTCTGTTAATCATGAGAGGATAGATTTGACCCGAACCGCAGAGCCCAAGAGATTTTGGCCCTGCAAGCGTGTCTCTGTGGAAGAACTGGCTTACCTTGTAGACGCAGCCCAGGGACGGCTGAAGCGTGCATGTCACCAGGTGAGTGCCCACGCCAATCATGTCTATTTCATTCCCCTGGCAAGAGGACACAGCAAAAGAGAACAATTGAGTTGTCCGCCCTCCGCTAATGGGCATCGCAGGCGCTTGTCTGCGTCCCACACAGCCGCCTCGGGAACATGCCGAAACTCTCAGAAACTCAAAAGGAGGTCAGTTTCAACGCCTTCTCCTGCCACGAAAAAGAGCTGGCAGAGTAAAAGTTAGAACAGCTTGCTCTAAATAGACCAGAGGCCCTCAGCTCTCAGCCTACTTGGCCAAGTCATAATTGCTACTTTGGAAAAATAATTAGGTTTTGAAAGATGGCTCAGAAGCCTATGGAATGAAGAAACAAATAAATAAAAGAATCACAACCTCAGCCTTCCCCCGATCATCTGCAATACGGGGGAAATCATATTTATTTATGTGTTAGACCACTTTATATTATAAAAAGAATCACAGAGCAGCTCGCGAAACACTGTAAAGCAACATGCTGTTTAGAAAGCTGGTATATGTTTTAATCTTTTTCCAGACTATCGCTATTTTAACTTTTCGAAAGCCTTAAATTATTCTCAGTTTTTCTCATTGGTAAATGCTTCGTTTTACCGCTCTGAGTTCTGCCCGTGGTTTACAATCAAGCTGATGGTGTTGTTTTGCTGAGTGTGGAGACGTCGTGCCAAAGGGGAGTTTGTGCAGACAGACAGCTTACGCACTGCGACAAAGGAGTTTTGGCAGCAAGAAGACCCTCTCTTGGGCTCAAGGGAGAGAAACACATTGCACTGCACTTAGTATACATGCAAGATGCTGCTTTTAATAGCTGCCATCCGGCAAGCGTCCTGCCCACCTAGCAGTTCGAAAGCACGTCAAAGTGCAAGTAGATATATAGGTACCACTCCGGCAGGAAGGTAAACGGCGTTTCCGTGTGCTGCTCTGGTTCGCCAGAAGTGGCTTAGTCGTGCTGGCCACATGACCCGGAAGCTGTACACCGGCTCCCTCGGCCAGTAAAGCGAGATGAGCACCGCAACCCCAGAGTCGGCCACGACTGGACCTAATGGTCAGGGGTCCCTTTACCTTTATCCTGCAAGCGAAGAGCCATCTTCAAAGTTTTGTGTGTGGAATCTACTTAATTGCTAGGCCTTTGAGGGTGAAACCGCTGCATCACCCTGCATGACTCAGAAAAATGGCAATCTTTGTCTTGCCGGCTGAGGGATGACCCAGAAAGGACCACAATAGCTACTACTGCAACACGCTCTACGTGGGGCTACCTTTGAAGGTGACCCGGAAACTACAATTAATCCAGAATGCGGCAGCTAGACTGGTGACTGGGAGCGGCTGCTGAGACCACATAATACCGGTCTTGAAAGACCTACATTGGCTCCCAGTACGTTTCCGAGCACAATTCAAAGTGTTGGTGCTGACCTTTAAAGCCCTCAACAGCTTTGGCCCAGTATATCTGAAGGAGCATCTCCACCTCCATCGTTCTGCCCAGACACTGAGGTCCAGCGCCGAGGGCCTTCTGGCTGTTCCCTCCCTGCGAGAAGCTGCCAGAGTGGCTGGGGAAGCCCAGCCAGATGGGCGGGGTATAAATAATGTAATTATTATTATTATTATTATTATTATTATTATTATTGGAAATCAGTAACTTTCCCGCAACTACCTACCCCAATTTCCAAGACAGTGAAGCCAAAGGGAGAAGATGTACATCTGACTGTGTTTTTATATTTTGCTGGAAGATGCCCAGAGTGGCTGGGGCAACCCAGTCAGATGGGCAAGAGACAAGTATTATAATATTACCAATAACATTCCGATAGGCTAGGGGAACCTGGAATATCTAAGTTCCTGATAGTGTCCAGTTTACCTTGGCCCAGAATACCTGAAGGAGCGTCTCCACCCCCATCGTTCAGCCTGGACACTGAGGTCCAGTGCCGAGGGCCTTCTCGGTGGTGGCGCCCGCCCTGTGGAATGCCCTCCCATCAAATGTCAAGGAAATAAACAACTATCTGACTTTCAGAAGACATCTGAAGGCAGCCCAGTTAAGGGAAGTTTTTAATGTTTGATGCTTTATTGTACTTTTAATATTTTGTTGGAAGCCGCCCAGAGTGGCTGGAGAAACCCAGTTAGATGGGTGGGGCATAAATAATAAATGATTATTAAATTAATAATACCGAATGTCTGTGATCTCTTTTCCTTACCTGGCCAGGACAAACTTTTACAGGGCTTCCTTGGAGCGCCGAATAATTTGAGCTATGCTGCTGCAGGTAATTATTGCTATTACCTGCTGCAATTATTTGCTCACAGAGAGTCTCCCTGTCCCACACACCGAACTTGAGCAAGACCAAGCATGTCCTCACCTCCTGAGAGAGCTCCCAAAGGTTCTCTTCGCTGACGTCGTTGCTCACGGCGATGGGGACTGCTTCGAACCAGGGGACCTGAAAGCTGGATGGCAAGACAAGCAAAAAAGAAGTGTAAGGACATCACAAGCAGGGTGGATAAAAATCTAATTTTTTTTTAAAAAAAAACCCAATTTTTAAAATTTAAATCTGATTTTTTTATTAAAATTTTTAAAATAAAATGCTTTTGGACGAAAAATCTTTCTAAAGATAGTTTTCTATTTAAGTTACATTATAGTCCAAAGGCTATTCATCAGGAAATACGGATTTGTTTTAGTTTTTCATGTGTGCTAAAACTCAGACTGAGTTTTTTTTAAAAAAAGTTTAACCACATCAGTTAACAAACATGGATACATATGCTATAATGTTAATTGTTTTAGTTAAATAAATTGCTTAAATTGTTATTAAGGAAATGATTATTTTTCTCCTTCCTATAAAGTACAGCAGAAAAGTTGTCCAAATATAAACAGCTAATTTATTAAACCTCACAATAATTTCATAATTATCTGCCTATGTATTTCTTATAGTATAACCAAATCAGCAATTTTTGATATAAGTGTAAAAACTACTCTGAAAATTTATTATTCCAAAAACGAAACCTTCATCTGGTTGTAAATATTAAGATTATACTAGCAAGAATGAGTCTTTATGTAAAATAAAGAGAGATTTAAATCAAGTCTTACTGACTAGTGATTTAATTAAGTCTTACTGAATAGTGATTTAAAGGGATTTGATTTACCGTATTTTTCGCTCTATAAGACGCACCAGACCACAAGACGCGCCTAGTTTTTGGAGGAGAAAAACAAGAAAAAAAATATTCTGAATCTCAGAAGCCAGAACAGCAAGAGGGGTCGCTGCGCAGCGAAAGCAGTGATCCCTCTTGCTGTTCTGGCTACTGGGATAGCTGCACAGCCTGCATTTGCTCCAGAAGATGCACACACATTTCCCCTTACTTTTTAGGAGGGAAAAAGTGAGTCTTATAGAGAAAAAATATACGGTAAATCAAATCCACCCTGATCACAAGAGGCTGCTGGATCAGGCCAAAGAGAACCCATCTAGTCCAACATCCTGTTCTCACAGGGCCAAGCAGATACCTGTGGGAAACCTGCAAGCAGGATTCGAACACAGGACCGACTCTCCCCTCCTGTGGTTTCCAGCAACTGGGATTCAGAAGCATGGCTGCCTCCTGCTATGGAGGCAGAGAATAGCCATCCTGGCTAGCAGCCCTCGATAGCCCTCTTCTCCAAGAATTTGCCTAATCCTCTACTAAACCCATCCCAAGATGGTGGCCATCACTGCTTCCTGTGGCGGGGAGTTCCACAGTTCAACTATGTGCTGTGAAAAGAAATTGTTTCGTGTATCTGTGCTGAACCTTCTGACAATCAGCTTCCTCGGAAGTCTATGTCAGATTCTGTGATCTATCTCAGTATCGTTCACATGGACTGGCAGCCACAATCCAGGGTTTCAGAGCGGGGTCTTCCCAGCCCTGCTGACTGTTGAAGCGATGATTCTTCAACATCAGCTTCGTTGGACTGGTCATGTTGTGCGGATGCCTGATTATTGTCTTCCAAAGCAACTACTCTATTCCGAACTTAAAAATGGAAAGCGTAATGCTGGTGGTGAACAAAAGAGGTTTAAAGACTGTCTCAAGGCAAAGGCCCAGCGCTGAGGGCCTACTGGCGGTTCCCTCCCTGCGAGAAGCCAAGTTACAGGGAACCAGGCAGAGGGCCTTCTTGGTGGTGGCCCCTGCCCTGTGGAATGCCCTCCCTTCAGATGTCAAAGAGAACAGCAACTACATGACTTTTAGAAGACATCTGAAGGCAGCCTTGTTTAGGGAAGCTTTTAATGTTTAATAGGTTATTGTATCTTAATATTCTGTTGGAAGCCGCCCAGAGTGGCTGGGGAAACCCAGCCAGATGGGTGGGGTATAAATAATAAATTATTATATTATTATTATTATAAATCTAAAAAAATGTAGTATAAACACTGACAACTGGGAAACACTGGCCTGCGAGCGCTCCAGTTGAAGAACAGCCTTTACCAAAGGTGTAATGGGCTTTGAAGACACTCGAACTCAGGACACAAGGGAGAGACGTGCTCAGAGGAAGGCACACTTGGCAAATCCACACCAGGATCAACTCCCGCCCGGAAACCTATGTTCCCACTGTGGAAGGAGGTGTGGATCCGGAATTGGCCTCCACAGTCATGGACTCGTTGTTAGAACCGTGTTTATGGAAGACGATCTTACTCACATACGAGGGATCGCCAAAGACCTGGAGATGCCGGGAATTGAACCCGAGACCATATGCAAACAAAGCCAACACTTCATCACTGAGCTGTGGCCCTTCTCCCGAGGGCCTAGGGGGCAAGGGAGAGAGGAGGGCTGCATTTGGAGCAATGGCCTTCTGTTCTCTACCCCTCGCCTGAGCACTGGCGGTGAAACAGGGCACTGAGGAACATGAGAAGCAAAAGAAATCTAGAGATGGACCCGAGTTTGGCTGGAATCAGGAATCAGGCCTTGATCAGCAGCCATCAGCTCCGCAGTAACGTCTCCGCCTGGAAAGGTCAAATCTGGGGGGAACGCGAGGGGAAACAGCCGCACACTCACTGCTTGCTGCAGGTGCGAAACACTCGCCGTATCTCCACCGACTGCTTGGCCAGGTCCCCGCTGTCCAGGCGGACGCCAATGACTCGGTAGCCCAACTCGTTCAGCGCCAGGGCGACGGCACAGAAGTTCGGGATGCCGCTCCTGTGGGCAGGGAAGGGGTTGCAAGAAACCGTAAGGAGGATGGAAGCTTGGCAAATCCTAATAGTAGAATATCTGCAGCTAGCGAAAGCGACAGGAAGAGTAAGAGCCCAACCGAAACAAAAAGTCTACAGTGGTACCTCAGGTTACGTACTTAATTTGTTCTGGAGGTCCGTTCTTAACCTGAAACTGTTCTTAACCTGAAGCACCACTTTAGCTAATGGGGCCTCCTGCTGCTGCTGCTGCGCCGCCGAAGCACGATTTCTGTTCTCATCCTGAAGCAAAGTTCTTAACCCGAGGTACTATTTCTGGGTTAGCAGAGTCTGTAACCTGAAGCGTATGTAACCTGAAGCATCTGTAACCTGAGGTACCACTGTATAAGGATTGGGGAATATTTAAAGAATATTTAGAAAACTATGGAATAAAAGGAAACATCTTGGCACAATTAGACTGATCCCTGTATTGTATAAATATAAGTTCATAGGGAACTGGACCATAAAGAAGGCTGATCGCCAAAGAATGGATGCTTTTGAATTCTGGTGCTGGAGGAGACTCTTGAGAGTCCCAGGGACTGCAAGGAGATCAAACCTCTCCATTCTGAAGGAAATCAGCCCTGAGTGCTCACTGGAAGGACAGATCCTGAAGCTGAGGTCCCAAGGCTTTGGCCACCTCACGAGAAGAGAAGACTCCCTGGAAAAGACCCTGATGTTGGGAGAGATGGAGGGCACAAGGAGAAGGGGACGACAGAGGACAAGATGGTGGGACAGTGTTCTCCAAGCTACCAGCATGAGTTTGACCAAACTGCGGGAGGCAGTGGAAGACAGGAGTGCCTGCCGTGCTCTGGTCCATGGGGTCATGAAGAGTCGGACACGACTAAACGACTAAACAACAACAAGAAAGCAAAGCCCAATGTAACCTCAGATCGTAAGCACTTGGCCTCAGAACAGTGTGGTACAGTGGTTAGAGTGCCAGACCTGAGAAGAGACCAGGGTTCGAATCCCCACCCGGCCATGAAGCTCACTGTGTGTGGCCTTGGGGCTCAGTCCCTGCCTCTTAGCCGAACCTACCTCACAGCGTTGTTGTGGCGATAAAACGAGGAGGGAGGCAAGAGACATTGGCGAATCAAGGAGTGTGTGAATACAGTCAAGAATAACGAATTTAGGTTTGGAGCGCAGAGCTTACTTCATCACGCAGAAGGTGTCCAAAAGACCCTGGAAGTTTTGTGGGAAGGTGATGGCGTAGGAGACGAAGGCAGCCAGCTCCCCACGGTTCACTGTCTCCAGCGGGATTTGCAGCAGTTGGCAAACCCGGCTCAGCCATGTCTCCACTAAGAACAGAAAATCCACAGGCTCCTTTCCATGTCGTGGGATCAGGGTCTACAGAGAGGAACAGAGGAGCTATCAGAATCCAGGCCCCGTCGCCATCTTGGGATTCTGGACCGACCACCCAGCGATCTCATTGGTGCATTTATTCCGTCAAACTTACGCAACGCTCGATTGTTTTTAAAAAAGCAAAAGCCCCAGGTTTACGAAGAGGAGCAAACGGTAGATTGAGAAGCAAAAGCAGAAGAAGCAACTCTTTCGAGAAGATAAAATCAACAATAAGGAAAGGCTAAAAAGATGAGTTGAGAAATAAGACCAAGGGTACATATTGATATAGGAATGTATTAGACAAAATATAAAGAAATATACAATAGTAAGAGTACATTCAATTGTAAAAAAGGGATATACAACGGGATAGACAGGAAGTCCATAGTGTTGGTACAAATACTATTTTGGAATAGTTTTTGGTCCTTGTTTTTTCCCCCTTCCTTTTTCTTATCTTTAGGTATATAGAGTTTGTACATCAATTTTGTATACATGTTGAAAAATATATGATAATAAGCATTGTATTGCAATGCGATATTCTTTACCGATGTAACATAAGAATGTTAATAAATAAATAAAATTGCAAAAAAAGAGGAAAGGCTAAAATTAAAACATTCTACATGCCTCTGCAACCTGTCCCGTCCCGGCCCCCCCCCATACTAACCCGCGGGTTCACCTCAGCCAGCGAGGTGAAGGACAAGATGTAAGAATGCGCTACAGTTCCCCGCACTGGAATCCCATAGAGCTTCCCGGCGAGGACGTTGCTGGTAAAATCGAACCCTGGAAGAGAAGGGACTCGTGTCAGGTTTGCGGGGGCCTGCATGGTTCCCAGGACCCATTTCCACCAGGCCTTCAGCAGGAACCAAATCGGAAGTGAGCCTCCACGGGTAAGCATAGGCTATCACGGGTGTGGAGGATTCCCTGGTCCTGAATGGGGTAATTGTGCCCCTGAAGGACCAGGTGCGCAGCCTAGGAGTAATTTTGAACTCACAGCTGTCCATGGAGGCGCAGGTTAATTCTGTGTCCAGGGCGGCTGTCTACCAGCTCCATCTGGTACGCAGGATGAGACCCTCCCTGCCCGCAGACTGTCTCGCCAGAGTGGTGCATGCTCTGGTTATCTCTCGCTTGGACTACTGCAATGCACTCGACGTGGGGCTACCTTTGAAGGTGACCCGGAAACTACAACTAATCCAGAATGCGGCAGCTAGACTAGTGACTGGTGAGCGCCCGCCAATACCATATAACACCAGTCCTGAAAGTCCTACATTGGCTCCCAGTACGTTTCCGAGCACAATTCAAAGTGCTGGTGCTGACCTTTAAAGCCCTAAACAGCTCGGTCCAGTATACCTGAAGGAGTGTCTCCACCCCCATCGGTCTGCCTGGACACTGAGGTCCAGCTCCAAGGGCTTCTGGCGGTTCCCTCCCTATGAGAAGTGAGGTTACAGGGAACCAGGCAGAGGGCCTTCTTGGTAGTGGCGCCTGCCCTGTAGAACACCCTCCCAGCAGATGTCAAGGAAATAAAAAACTACCAAACTTTTAGAAGACCTCTGAAGGCAGCCCTGTTTGGGGAAGGTTTTAATGTTTAACAGACCACTGTATTTTAATACTTTGTTGGAAGCCACCCAGAGAGGCTGGGGAAACTCTGCCAGATGTACGGGGTATAAATAATAAATTTATTATTATTATTATTGTTATTATTATTATTATTATTATTACTACTACTACTACTATCTCTCTCTTAGCTGAAATCACACAAGTTGACTGTGATCGCAGTGTACTGTTTTCACCCATGATAGGAGAAAATAGGAAGGATGTCGAGTTGCAGCTCGGCATCCAGAGGAAAATCAGTCTCACACCAAGATAGGTTCCGAAATATGGCTGCTCTAGGGCTAATGCAGCACAGCTTTTATTGTGTGAAATAGAAAGATACAAAAAATACAAGCCAAGCAATTTGTTCTAGCCAGCAGATAAAGACCTTGGTACTAGACCATGTGAGCGATCAGGCTATGCTACGTTAGCCAATCGTATGGGACAGCACGAGCTGTTCACGCGCTGTTCATGCTCCAAGGATGCTTCTAGCTATGAGATCACCCTGTAACAATAAGAACTTTGCTCATGCTCTCATGTACAAGCAATCATTTTCCCACATATCCCCTTTTCTTGTTTATATTATTAGAGGAAAAGAGGGACCATTAGTCCAAATCGTACACTTCATTGCCTAAGCGTCTACACTTTGCAACATAAATTCCTCTTGTAACCCCTGTGGTGGGCCGTGGTCGGTACCACCATGCAGTGCATTGGGAAATCAAAGAGGGTATGCATTGAATGCAACAACACACCATAATGAAGCCAGCAATACATGCAATTACAATCAATAATATTTTTCTTAACCATAATCCATTAGGTAACCAAGAAGACAACCACTCCCATGGATCAAAACCTTCAGGTGGATTCAAAGGATTATGGGCTATCATTTGTTCCATATGATCAATAGTAGCAGAGATATTGGTCGATTGATCAGTTATATACATGCAGCATGAGAATGAATTAAGGCACAAATTCCACCTTTAGAAGCAAGGATCACATCTAAAGCATAATGATGTTGAAGAACTACATTTCTTATTTCTGATATTTCTTTGTTAATCATTTTTAAAGCCAAAATGGTGGAATTTTTTTAAAAAAACAAGGCTTCAGTCCAGTTTGCCAATCTATGCAGATCACGGTAATTCATGGCTACACCTAAAAAGGGCAAAAGTGGTAACATTAAAAAAAACAAGAAGATCCATTAATGTATTCATAGGTCGAATTACAATATAGATAATGACCTAAAAACTTATACGATTGTCCTGCATATTATTGCTAATCTTATATGAAGCATTTACTGGAATACCACCACTAAAAGAAAGGTTCAAAGCTTTGAGAAGCTTTTTAAAATCATTTTTCTCAGCAGCTTAAAGGCACTAGCTAAGCATATGCTGTTTGCTGTAACTAAAAAAAATTGCAACAAGGTAGAGAACAGAGTCCATTGTCTTCCAGGCCTTGCTGAAGAACCACATTGCAACTTGCTTTCTGTCCGGGAACCATGCCAAAGCACAAGAATGAAACAACTGGAACACACTGAAATCCCTCACCCCCTCCCTTGCCAAGAGTCCACAATAGTTCCAAGACAGCCCTCTGTACATGCTCAGAGGAACACATCATAGGGCAGGACTCCTGAGGGAGGAGAAACAAAAATATCTGGGGGGTAAAATCCAAGTGATGCCAATAAGGATGAGAATGGTAAATTAGTCCAATGGCCACTTCCGAGCAACCTGTGTGATATTTCGTGGCTCGATTATTGGCATGTAAAAACCACAATCCAGAAGAAGTCACACAACTATTTCTGCAGATACAGGAGCCCATTTGCTGTAAATAAGTCTGATGTATTGCTCCGTGCACTGCTGAGCCAAGAATCCAAACCCAACGAAACGTGGTGACACAGATGGGATGGTCGCTATTGGGGGGCAAAACCCAAGCGATGCCGGTCTGACGAGGGCATCCTTCAAAGCCAGGCTCATTTCCCAAACAAGAGGCAACAAAACTGTAACGATAAGTGGTAGAAACGGTGGCTTCCCAGGGGGAAGGGGGGCCAACGCGATAGGGTTGAAGATGGCCTTTCAACGTGCCAAGAAACACTGGAACAGCTGTGGAAGGTGACTTTATCCAGGGCACATCAATATGGCGATGTCTCCAATTGCAGTGCAGGTTGAGATTAGGTGAAATCAAAGAAGTTGGACCCTTCCACTGTGGATCTGGAAGCAACTTGTATGACACTAAAGGACGTTGCAATACTTCCTCCTTCCGGAAATGAAGTTCAGCAGGCGTAAAATTCCTGTTGCCAAATAACCAGGGTGACCAATATGTGATCTAAGATGTGCTTCAGAAAATTGACAAGTCCTGGCCTGTATCAAAGATGGGGCACTTTGTGCTGGAGTGACATTGCTGTGCGGTAGATCTGCACTGCGCACGAAAATAGTCCACTTTGCTACATCCAAAGCAGGTTTTATCCTTTGCAGGATTCTGGGGCACGGTGGAGGACAAAGCCGTGGCTAGCAGGCGAGCTTTGTGCATCTCAGTGCCCACTGACTGGCAGGCTTTAAGCACATCTGCAATGGCTATATTGGGAGTTGCCACCAATGGGCGTAGAACTTGTTTACAGTCCTCATTAGCATTATCAAAAGCAAGCTGGCGTACTATCACTTCCTGGGCTGCTACGTCCTGAACTTGCCGTTTAAGGGTGTTATACAAGCGATCGACAAATTGTCCATAGGGCTCTGTAGGACCTTGTCTAACACTCCCCCATCGGCCATCGCGCTCAGTTTTGTCATCAGGGACAGAGGCCAAAGCCTCTTGGGCAGCGGCTGTAGTGGCCTCCCAATACTGAGGATGGAGAGTTAGCTGTTGGGCAGCAGTAAGAAAGTTGCCTCCTCCCGTCAGCCCATCGAGAACATCGGTTTGGGTCAGCATGACGGGGGCTGGGGGTCCAGGGCCATTGTCCTTGACAGAAGAATACAGTTCCTTTATGAATCTCAAATCAAACTGGTCGTGCCGGGCTGGGCCTTCCCCTGGCGCGGCAGTAGCAATCACAGGGAAGAGATTAGGAGTTGTAGAATCAAAAGCCAACAACGGAGCAGCGGCACGGAGAGATTCTTGGAGAGGAGTAGTAGAAGCGGTGCCAAATGCCTTGGGCGCAGGAGGTGGAAGAACGGGGGGTGCTGCAGAATTTGAAGAATGCAGGGGAGTGACGGGAGAAGCCGGAGGGAGAATGTCCGGCGGTTTAGGAGGTATGTTTGAGGCAGGCAAAGCGGGAGCTGGGAGGGCGGGCGAAGAAGCTGTTGCGGCAGCCAGAAGAATGTTTGAAGGAGTTAAGCACGACATAGCTTTGTAGACGTTACTCCAGGCGTGCAAAACCTTTACATCAATCTGAGGATGATTTTGAAAGAAGTGTCCAATTTTTTTCCAATCGTCTAACTCCCAATTTCCGTCCTGGGGGAACCACGGGCAGTGAGTGTCCAGGGCTTTTATAAGGGACTTAAGGTCAGCTTTCCGAACAGCAAGGTTGTTACTGGCCAAAAGGAATTTAAGGTCTTTAAAAAATTTTTTCTGTGGTGCAGAGAGAGATTTTCCCATGATTGCAAGAGTTGCAAAAAGAGCAGGGAGCACTTACCGAGGGATCCGTAGGAGGATGAGGAAGGCGCCTTTTGCCCTGTCCGGGCGGAGGTAAGTGCTGATAAGACCGTAACGTAGTCCAGAATCACATTCACACGGGAGCTCTCACCGGGGATCCACTACGTGGATGAACGACGCGTCTGCAGCCCTTGCGGGGCGAGGTGAGAGCTGAACGTTGTACACACGGGAGCACTCACCAGGGATCCACTACGTGGATGAACGACGTGTTGGTGAGTGCTGAACAATGAAAAACAGGCAGTCACACGGGAGCACTCACCAGGGATCCACTACGTGGATGAACGACGTGTTGGTGAGTGCTGAATCCGAAGGCAATCACACGGGAGCACTCACCAGGGATCCACTACGTGGATGAACGACGTGTTGGTGAGTGCTGAATAAAACAACGTGAAGTCCGAAGGCAGTCACACGGGGCACCAATTGTCGAGTTGCAGCTCGGCATCCAGAGGAAAATCAGTCTCACACCAAGATAGGTTCCGAAATATGGCTGCTCTAGGGCTAATGCAGCACAGCTTTTATTGTGTGAAATAGAAAGATACAAAAAATACAAGCCAAGCAATTTGTTCTAGCCAGCAGATAAAGACCTTGGTACTAGACCATGCGAGCGATCAGGCTATGCTACGTTAGCCAATCGTATGGGACAGCACGAGCTGTTCACGCGCTGTTCATGCTCCAAGGATGCTTCTAGCTATGAGATCACCCTGTAACAATAAGAACTTTGCTCATGCTCTCATGTACAAGCAATCATTTTCCCACAGAAGGATGCATTTGGGAAGGAAAAGTCTTCTTCATAAGAGGTGCAGCTGTCGAGTCTTGAGGTATGACTTGAAGGCTTTGGGGTTTGGGCCTCCTTTTTCAGGGTTGTTTATTTAATACAGACATATAAAATTTTGAGAATATATCTGCAAAAAGTCAACAAGATGCAGTAAACAAAGGGGAAAAAAACTAATTGTGATTGTAACTGTGAATGAGTGCTGTTATTTTCAGGGTTTAAAGGGGGAAGGATTAAAATCTCAGGAAGAGCAGCTAAAACTAAGGGGACCAGTCTGTTTTCTGCTCAGCTCAAGGGCTCCTGCAATGAACCCTGCCCCGAATCCATCAGACCCCATATCCAAACCCAACCAGTCTCCCCCATCCTGCTGCAGGTTTCCACCTCAAATCTCCAAGCATCACTCCTTCCCTTACAGTAGGGACAGAGACCCTGCAGCCTTTCTGACATTTCTGGACTACAAATCCCATCATCCTTGACCACTGGCCACCCAAGTTGCAGCTGATGGGAGCTGGAATCCAGCAACATCTAGAAGTCCCAGATGTTTCCCAAACCTGGCTTACGAGCTCTTTGGATCCTCGTGGTGTCGGTATGGGCAGAGACCAAACCCCAAAAGGAAGTCTCTGGTGACAGCAGCAAGGGCAAGGCAGGTGGTGCCGCCTAGTGGCCAGCGAAGGGGCGAGTCACGAGTCAGAACCTACCCCCCACATAGGTATACTTGGATGCAGAGAGGCCCCCGTCCGGTCCCTGCGCACGACGCAGCCCCATCTCCATGAGTTTCTTGTCCGGGCCTGCTATGAGCCGGAATCGGGCAGCATTCGTAGCGACGAGGCTGCAAGGAGGAAAATTCAGGTAGAATATTAACCGATCCTTTTATTGCCTTCCAACACAGCAGAGGGTTTCCTTAATGCACTGCTGGGATTTATCTAGGAACAATTCCTTTTTTGATTTCGGATGAAGTGCACATTAGAAAGAGCGTCTGCAGCGGTTCTCAACCTGCGGGCCCCCAGATGTTGTTGGACTACAACTCCCATCATCCCTGAGCTCTGGCCTTGCTAGCTAGGGGTGATGGGAGTTGTAGTTCAACATCATCTGGGGATCCACAGGTTGAGAAAGGCTGGGCTAGAGAGAGCAGGACTCCCCAACGTGGTGCCCTCTTGGATGCCTGCCGGAACACGACCCCATCATCCCTGACCCTCTGGCCCCACTGGCTGGGAGTGATGGGTACTGGAGTCCAATAACATCTGCATAGCTGAGGGACACCAGGTGAAAGGGGGGAAACCTCCAAGAGGGCAAGCATGGCTGGGCTGTGTGTTCGATCCAGAAAAACTGTTTTCCTAAAGTTCGGATGGACAAATATTTGAATGTGCCCTTTCTGTTCTCCACACAGTAACACAAAATCCTCTATGCATCTCTAGATAGACATTTGCGTCCAATTATGACATCTCCGGGGACGCAGGTGGTGCTGTGGGTTAAACCACAGAGCCTAGGACTTGCCGATCAGAAGGTCGGCGGCTTGAATCCCCACAACAGGGTGAGCTCCCGTTGCTCGGTCCCTGCTCCTGCCAACCTAGCAGTTCGAAAGCACGTCAAAGTGCAAGTAGATAAATAGGTACCGCTCCGGCGGGAAGGTAAACGGTGTTTCCGTGCGCTGCTCTGGTTCGTCAGAAGCGGCTTAGTCATGCTGGCCACATGACCTGGAAGTGGGACGCCAGCTCCCTCGGCCAATAAAGCGAGATGAGCGCCGCAACCCCAGAGTCGGTCACGACTGGACCTAGTGGTCAGGGGTCCCTTTACCCTTTACCTTATGACATCTCCAGTCCTTTGGAAAATGTGCTGCCCCCCAGGCCTAATGGAAGCCTGCTTCACCGGTTGCAAACCCACACACAGAATTCACAACAGTGCTGCAAACACAGCAATTTTTTAAATGTGCAGAAGCGTTGAGCATTGCCCCCTCTGCTCCAGAGGGCTCCTTTGTCTTCTGCTTGCGGGAAGCGACTTCCGTGTAGGAATCTGGCAACCTGCCAAGCGGCCTCTAGGAGAATTTCCCTGCCACCCTATACCCCCAAGTCCAGAGTCCACAGGGGCGATGTGCACCAATTATAGTCTCAGCACGACAGATCTGTCAGGAGTTCGGCCTACGCTCGAGTAGGACCTTAGCAGAGACACACGCCCGACTGGCATGTTCTCTCCCTCCTGGTCTTTCATTCGGGAGCTTCACAAGCTTTCTTCTGCCTGAACATCACAGCGGCTGATGCCAACCGACACCGGCACACTTAGGGATCTGCAGAGTTTGCGCATCATGCGTGACAGACCTCAGCAGCTCAGCATTTTGGCTAATCTACTTTATTTACATATAAACACACACGGAGCACTGCAACATGGCTCCCTCTCTCTCTCTAGCATCAGACAGCAAAGAGAAAAAGAACAAAGGACAATAGTCCCACTTCACAGAACACAGTAACACAAACATCCTGTCTCCGTCACTTCCCATGCTGTGGAGTCAAAACATATACAGTGGTACCTCGGGTTAAGTACTTAATTCGTTCTGGAGGTCCGTTCTTAACCTGAAACTGTTCTTAACCTGAAGCACCACTTTAGCTAATGGGGCCTCCTGCTGCAACCGGGCTGCCGGAGCACAATTTCTGTTCTCATTCTGAAGCAAAGTTCTTAACCTGAGGTACTATTTCTGGGTTAGCGGAGTCTGTAACCTGAAGCGAATGTAACCTGAAGCGAATGTGACCCGAGGTACCACTGTACTGTCATGTGAAAGTCAACAATCCCAGGACTGCAATTATGGAGCAGGAATTCTAACAAGATCCTGCCGTCAGTGTTAACCAAAACACAGAGGCCAGAAGAAAAGGAGGTCCTCTGGCCCCCGCTCACATCCTCACCTGGCGTAGTTCACCAAACACAGCAGGGTGGTCTCTAGAAGCTGTATCACCAGCAAGGGACCCTTCACCTGCAGCACCGGCACCTACAGGAAGGAATTCAGAAACACACCTGTACCATAGAACTCCTTTGCAACCAATCAGGACCTGCCATTTTTTGCTACGGTTTTAGAGAACTCCATGCATCACCCCCTACAGGCCTGTCTCTTCTACATCTGAAGGCTCCTTCAGGTGAAGTTTTAAAAGGAAGCACCTTTTGTTAAAAGTACTTAGGTAAGAAAGGGCAGAAATGCATACCGTATTTTTCGCTCCGTAAGACACACTTTTCCTCTCCTAAAAAGTAAGGGGAAATGTGTGTGCATCTTATGGAGCGAATGCAGGCAGGAGGCAGGCGGAAAAAACCCCCAAGAGCCACACACACACTCCACGCTGCTCTTGGGGGCTTTTCCCGGAGGAGAGAGTAGGGACTGACTGGATTTTAGAGGGGGAATGCAAGGGGAAAATTTTTTTTAAGGGAACGCTGAGCAGAGCCTGGGGTGCATACAAGCTCTGCTCAGAGCTCCCTTTAAAGAATATTTTCTCCCTTGCATGTCCCCTCTAAAAACTAGGTGCGTCTTATGGTTAGGTGCGTCTTATGGGGCGAAAAACATAGTGCTTTCCCTCCCCCCCCTGAATTTGCAGCAAAAAATATTTGTTGTTGTTGAGTCATTTAGTCGTGTCCGGCTCTTCGTGACCCCTGGACCAGAGCAGGCCAGGCACTCCTGTCTTCCACTTCCTCCCGCAGTTTGGTCAAACTCATGCTGGTAGCTTTGAGAACAAAAAATATTAATTGATATATAATCCCTCGTAAGCTCAAAGAAAGCCAGAATGCTTAGAGTGTCAGACTAGGACCTGGGAGACAAATCCAGCTATGAAGCTCACCTTGGAGTCAATCACTGCCTCTCACACTAGCCTACTCACAGGGTTGTTGTGAGGAGTAAATGGGAGGTGGGGGAGAATCTTGAAATCCTTGAAGGTAAAGGTGGCAAATAAATGTAAGAAATAATAATAGTAATAATATAACTAGGCAATTTGCAACGTTATAAAAATATCTTTAAAAAAAACCACCACTATTTAAAGCAACACAAATCATTAGACAACATGTTCTGAAATATGAATGCAAACAGAAACAATTAGCACATGGATTACTATAACCACCACAAGCTGACTAAAATAGACAATTTCAGCAAAGACGATTGGTCCCACCCACCAGATGTGCAAACATGCATTTCCTATCAGGTCTGAAGATGCCTTTGTGAGTTTGTGTGTGCGATGCGAGAGGTTCTTGATGTGTGGCCCCAAACGCCTTTGTCCGCTCAACACCTCGCAGGTAGAAACTACTCCTTGAAAACACCCACCCTGGCAAAGACAACGGATCCCTCTGGAGCGGCGGAGACGGAAACTTCGGACGCATCCACCGTGCGCAGGTAATCGAAGAAAGCTTTCTCTGTGGTAGCGGGAAAGACAGATTCGAGATACTCGATGTCTGGAAAGGAAGGATTCACACGAAGAAACAGTGAGCGACAGGGGAAGTTTCCATGGGACGGTTTGAAGGAAAAGGGACGATGCCCAGAAAAGCTGAAAGCGTTTTAAAAAAACCAAAACTAAACACCCTTTCGGCTTTCCCAGCAGCTATTTTCTTTAAAATGGTGTTAGCAGAAGCAGATTTTTATATCGAGCATCACGTAATCAGTCGCTTTAAGGCAGCAACCCTTTGCAACAGAAGCTGGAGAAAACTCACGCCAGATCCAAACCCTGATCAGGAGCAAGGAACTGGCCCAAGCCTATCAGAGGAGGAAAAAACCTGAGCCTTTAAAATAAGAGATCCACTGACGCTACCTTTTTCTCCAGGTAGCATTTGACTGAGCTGAACAGAGTTAGGATGCAGGTTAGGACCTCCTTGCCCAATCCTGTCACACCTCCAGAAACCCGTACAATCGTACCTTGGTTTTCGAACAGCCTAGTTCTCAAGCGTTTTGGCTCCCGAACGCCACAAACCCGGAAGTGACTGCTCCGGTTTGCAAACTATTTTTGGAAGCCAAACATCCGTCGGGGCTTCCGATTGGAGCTTCCGACAGCCAATCAGAAGCTGCGCTTTGGTTTCCGAACGTTTTGGAAGTCGAATGGACTTCCAGAATGGATTCCGTTCAACTTCCAAGGTACAAATGTATATAAATTGCTAGCTTTTCACTGGGTGAAGGTGTTCCTATTCTCTTAGGCATGTGGGTGTTGATATGGTTGGGGTTTTAGAGGTGATGGTTTTGGTGTTTGCCTTTTGGTTGGGTGGTGCTGTGGATTAAACCACAGAGCCTAGGACTTGCCGATCAGAAGGTCAGCAGTTTGAATCCCCGTGACGGGGTGAGCTCCCATTGCTCGGTTCCTGCTCTTGCCAACCTAGCAGTTTGAAAGCACGACAAAGTGCAAGTAGATAAATAGGTACCGCTCTGGCGGGAAGGTAAACGGCGTTTTCGTGCGCTGCTCTGGTTCGCCAGAAGCGGCTTAGTCCTGCTGGCCACATGACCCGGAAGCTGTACGCCAGCTCCCTCAGCCAGTAAAGCGAGATGAGCGCTGCAACCCCAGAGTCGGCCACGACTGGACCTAACGGTCAGGGGTCCCTTTACCGTTACATCGTATTTTTGCATTATAGACCTCTTGCTAATTCTCTTCCGAGATTCTGTTACAGCAAAGAGCAGCAAAATGAACAAGCACATATACAGGGGGACAAGTGTTTTGGAGGCCCTTCTTGTCCTGTTTGGAAAAGCATTATAGCAAAATGAAATTGCGGGCAGCATTAGAGATGGGAGCAAAGGGAGAAAAATGAAGAAGTAATTGTATTAGAGAGATTTCTGTAATAGATAGGAGTCTGATATATGAACCTGGAGGTATGGGTCAGAAGTCAGTTTACAAAGCAATGTTGTTGTTAATGTTATTGTTATTATTATTATTAGTTTTCAATTACAATGATCCAATAATAGCCTCATTATAACAATGCCAAATTATAATACAATTACTAATACCAATCATACAGAGGCCAAATTATAAAACTTAGGTGGGCCCCACGTGCTAGTATTGATGGTTTGACAATTTACTTTATTCCTGCATCCCAAAATCTTATTACGTAATTTCAATTACACTCAAGGCAAAATAACAATCCCTTATACAGCAACTGCAATATTAACAACTCCCATTCGTAATGACACATTAAATGATTTCAGCAATGTAATTATTTGATTTGAAGTCAAATTGTGAAATTTTAGAAATTTAATAAAAATTATAATATATAAAACCATGGGGACGAGTGCTCTCAGACGCACAAAAAAAGCCACAATAACACACACACACCCTAAATACTTTCAGAAGATCTCTGTTTGCCAGGCCTTCATTGTTTCTTTTTATCTGTTCTGTTTGCAAAACCCAACCTCATTATTTCTACTCATCCGTGGCCCTGGGCTTTGTTAACATTGTCCAGTCAACAACAGCCCAAACCACAAAGGGAAGAAACTCGTGCTGGGATGTGATGCAACCAGCAGAAGGACAAATCCCAGCTGAATCACAATATGAAGCTGCGAGCGGGGATGAATATTCGGGGGAATCAGGGCAGGCAGAAGAAAGCACTGCTTGCAGCACAGTTAACCTGTGGAACTCCCTGCCACAGGAGGCAGGGAGTGCCAGCAATCTACCGTATTTTTCGCTCCATAAGACACACTTTTTTCCTCCTAAAAGGGGGAAGTGTCTGTGCGTCTTATGTGTGGTCTATCGCTGGCTCCCTTTCTGGCCCTGTTGCCCAGGCCTCCACTGTTGAATGTTCTGCAGGCGGAGGCCGTTTGTTTCCCCAGCGACGTGTGACTGGCTGATTAGATTATCTGTCTGGAAACTGTAGAAACGGCTCCCTTTCCTTTCCTAAAGAAGCTGCAGAACTGTGAGTTGAACCCCATAAAAACAGGATTTTTTCCCCTTTGCAAAGTAAGCTCAACAACTTTGAGCTGATCCTCAAAAAACGGGGCTTTTCCCCTTTGCAAAAGAAGCTGCACAACTTTGAGCTGATCCTCAAAAAAACAGGGCTTTCCCCCTTTCCTCCTCTAAAAACTAGATGCGTCTTATAGTCAGGTGTGTCTTATGGAGCGAAAAATACGGTACATGGCTTGAAAAGAGGACTGGACAAATTCACAGAGGAGAGGGCTATGGATGGCTGCTTAGCCAGGATGGCTATCTTCTAACTCCACAGTTGGAGGCAGTGATGCTTCTGAATACCCGTTGCTGGAAACCGCAGGAGGGGAGAGATGCTCGTGAGCTCAGGTACCGCTTGCAGGTTTCCTACAGACCACTGTGAGAAAAGGATGCTGGACTAGATGGGCCGCTGGCCTGAATCAGCAGGCCCTTCTGATGTTCCTAGGAACCAGGAAGACGTCTCTGTGTAACGTGGAGGAGCCACATGGGCATGTATCCCACCTGTCCCTCCCTCTCTTCCTTAGAGGACCCTCGTACCTACGGGACCACCTGTCCCGTGGGTCTGCCCCGCGGAGGACCTTAAGGTCCATAAATAGAAACACCCTAGAGGTCCCGGGCCCTAAGGAAGTCAGATTAGCCTCAACCAGAGGCAGGGCCTTTTCAGCACTGGCCCCAGCCTGGTGGAACGCTCTGTCTCATGAGACCAGGGCCCTGCAGGATCTGATCTCTTTCCGCAGGGCCTGTAAGAGTTGTTCCACCTGGCCTTTGGCTTGGAATCAACTTGATCCCCTTCCCCTCTTTCCTTTTTCCTTTCTTCTTCTGTGATGGAACTCCTATCTGGGGACTTCCCTGGCTTTTTTCTGGGCCACATAGGACCAGTCTGGACAGTTGGCCCTGGGGAAGATTTTTCATCTCCCCCCCCAAAAAAAGTTTTTGATTTGAGTTCCTACTGAAATAAGGCTGCATTTTAACGTTGTATTTTAATCTTGTTTTTAAGTTGTATTTCAATCAATTGTTTTATACTGGTGTTAGCTGCCCCTGAGCCCGGTTTTAGGTGGGGAGGGCGGGGTATAAATAAAATTTAATAATAATAATAACAACAGTGAGCCGGCCCACTGGTCGAAAAGTTTGCTGACCCCTGTTCTAGAGCCACAGGATGACAACGGGGACTCTGGAAGAAACCAGAGGCCTTTCTCCTGGGCATGGTCGGCCAATTGGTGCCAAAGAAGGATAGAACTTTCTTTATGTATGCTACAACAGCAGCAAGAATACTTATCGCAAAGCACTGGAAGACACAAGATCTACCAACCCAGGAAGAATGGCAGATCAAGCTGATGGACTACATGGAGTTGGCGGAAATGACTGGCAGAATCATAGAATCATAGAATCATAGAGTTGGAAGAGACCACAAGGGCCATCGAGTCCAACCCCCTGCCAAGCAGGAAACACCATCAGAGCACTCCTGACATATGGTTGTCAAGCCTCTGCTTAAAGACCTCCAAAGAAGGAGACTCCACCACACTCCTTGGCAGCAAATTCCACTGTCGAACAGCTCTTACTGTCAGGAAGTTCTTCCTAATGTTTAGGTGGAATCTTCTTTCTTGTAGTTTGGATCCATTGCTCCGTGTCCGCTTCTCTGGAGCAGCAGAAAACAGCCTTTCTCCCTCCTCTATGTGACATCCTTTTATATATTTGTACATGGCTATCATATCACCCCGTAACCTCCTCTTCTCCAGGCTAAACATGCCCAGCTCCCTTAGCCGTTCCTCATAAGGCATCGTTTCCAGGCCTTTGACCATTTTGGTTGCCCTCCTCTGGACACGTTCCAGTTTGTCAGTGTCCTTCTTGAACTGTGGTGCCCAGAACTGGACACAGTACTCCAGGTGAGGTCTGACCAGAGCAGAATACAGTGGCACTATTACTTCCCTTGATCTAGATGCTATAACTCCTATTGATGAGGCCCAGAATTGCATTGGCTTTTTTAGCTGCCGCGTCACATTGTTGGCTCATGTCAAGTTTGTGGTCAACCAAGACTCCTAGATCCTTTTCACATGTACTGCTCTCAAGCCAGGTGTCCCCCATCTTGTATTTGTGCCTCTCATTTTTTTTGCCCAAGTGCAATACTTTACATTTCTCCCTGTTAAAGTTCATCTTGTTGGTTTTGGCCCAGTTCTCTAATCTGTCAAGGTTGTTTTGAAGTGTGATCCTGTCCTCTGGGGTGTTAGCCACCCCCACCCCCCAGTTTGGTGTCATCTGCAAATTTGATCAGGATGCCCTTGAGTCCCATCATCCAAGTCGTTGATAAAGATGTTGAATAAGACCGGGCCCAAGACAGAACCCTGTGGCACCCCACTAGTCACTCTTCTCCAGGAGTCACTCTTCTCCAGGAATCCGAGACCAGGGAGAAGAGTCGGTGGATGAAGATTGGAAAAAATTTAAAGTATATTTACAAAAACATTGCAAAATTAATGAATGTTAGAAGGATGCTGGAATGAAGTTACATGGCTTTAGCAGAAATGTTATAAAGAATTAAGTAAAAATAGATTGTTAATGGGCCAAAGTGGAAAATTTAAGGTTAGATTGTGTTAAGATAAATTATAGAACAAAAATTGAGAAAGATGGAAAGGATTTGCTGAAATAGCTAATTGAACTAGAATACAAAAAAAGGGAGGTGTGAGGAGGTCGATGAAACAAGTAAATGAAAGGCAAAGATACGGAAATATTGGATGTGTTTTTAAGTGTTTTTGTTTTTCTTGTTGTTTTGCTGTATTGTTTTTTGCTTTTATTTTTATTTCTGATGTATTTATTGTAAAGTACTGTTTTGTTTTGTTTAACTTTTTATTGTTTCTTTTTTCTGTAACTATTAAACCTCTAATAAATATCATTTAAAAAACAACAACGACGGGGACTCTGGCACCAGGCTACACGGTGTGAAAAAGTAGTAGTAGTAATAGTAATAATAATACTTATTATTATTATTATTATTATTATTTATGCCCCGCCCATCTGGCTGGGCTTTCCCAGCCACTCTGGGCAGCTTCCAACAAAATATTAAAATACACTAATGCATCAAACATTAAAAGCTTCCCTAAACAGGGCTGCCTTCAAAACAAGAACTTGGCATGACAGAGTCACTGGTGAAACAACATCCGTGCAGGGGGTGTATTGAGGGGGTTGGACTAGATGACCCCGTGGGACCCTTCCAACTCTAAGATTCTACGTTTGAACAACAACAATTTCATTATTTTATTATATAAACCCCAGCCCATGTGTCTGGGTTGCCCCAGCTACTCTGAGTTGTTTGTTTCCCACACACATAAAAACATAACAAAACATCCAATATTAAAAACAAAAATATGAGGAGGGGTTTTTGATGCGTGGCTGGCTGGCAGGAAGGACCACAAACAAACAGAAAATATATATTAAGCATATAATAAATGAGTATGGTTGGTTGGAGGAGAAAATCTGTTTAAGATAATACAGTGGTACCTCGGGTTAAGTACCAAATTTGTTCCGGAGGTCCGTTCTTAACCTGAAACTGTTCTTAACCTGAAGCACCACTTTAGCTAATGGGGCCTCCTGCTGCTGCCGCGCCACCGGAGCACGATTTCTGTTCTCATCCTGAAGCAAAGTTCTTAACCTGAAGCACTATTTCTGGGTTAGCGGAGTCTGTAACCTGAAGCGTATGTAACCTGAAGCGTATGTAACCCGAGGTACCACTGTACACAGAAAATTCTGTTGAACTGATACTGGACTAAGTCTGTAAGCAAAGTCTGAGATACCACTTTCAAAGAGAGATAATTTTCTGGTGTTTTTAGATGAACGGGTTATCAGGATTTTAACTCGGTCCACAAGGCTGTGACAGAGACGGCGCATGGGTTAGGTGTCACAGGAGTTAAAGGCATAATTATGTACACACACAAACAGCCTTTGCTGCGTAGCTGCACTCATTCCTGCCTCCCACGCCCAAATTTCAGTCAAGCCCAGCCTCTTCTCCTCTCTTCTCCCTTGCCACCTCCATTCCCAGTTCCAAGTTATGGAAATTCACAGAGAGAGCAGGTTCTTTCTCCCCTGCTGATCAAAGGTTAGCAGGGAAAGATGCCAGAAGCCCTCGGGAAACCCAGAGACATCAGGAAATATCTGCAAAGCCCAGGGAAATGCCTTTATACTCTGGCGAAGTAAATGTTTCACTTAGCACATGGTCTAAAGGTAAAGGTAAAGGTACCCCTGCCCGTACGGGCCAGTCTTGACAGACTCTAGGGTTGTGTGCCCATCTCACTCAAGAGGCTGGGGGCCAGCGCTGTCCGGAGACACTTCCGGGTCATGTGGCCAGCGTGACATTGCTGCTCTGGCGAGCCAGAGCCGCACACGGAAACGCCGTTTACCTTCCCGCTAGTAAGCGGTCCCTATTTATCTACTTGCACCCGGAGGTGCTTTCGAACTGCTAGGTTGGCAGGCGCTGGGACCGAGCAACGGGAGCGCACCCCGCCACGGGGATTCGAACCGCCGACCTTTCGATCGGCAAGCCCTAGGCGCTGAGGCTTTTACCCACAGCGCCACCCGCATCCCAGCACATGGTCTGGCGTCTGCCAAATGGGAAAATGTCAGGCCGCACTTCAAAAAGACCTGGAGAGGAAAGAGCGGGGTGTGGTGTGGATCAGGGCCACAGTGGTCACATGCTCTGCTTCCACAGACCATCTTTAAAGGTAAAGGGACCCCTGACAGTTAAGTCCAGTCGCGGACGACTCTGGGGTTGCGGCGCTCATCTCGCTTTACTGGCCAAGGGAACCAACGTTTCTCCGCAGACAGCTTTCGGGTCATGTGGCCAGCATGACAAACCGCTTCTGGCGAACCAGAGCAGTGCACGGAAACGCCATTTACCTTCCTGCCAGAGCGGTACCTATTTATCTACTTGCACTGGCATGCTTTTGAACTGACCTCTTTTGCAAGATCAGCTCTTGCATGTGCTGTAAAAACATGCAGACTTTTGAGTTACATGTGGTTCTTAAGTCCTATGGGAAAAGGGAGTCCATTACCCAGCTATGTGCAGAGCAGAAGTGGACCTGGCAAGGTTGCTCTCAACACAGCTGAGAATTAGCTCCCCTTTCACTTGGCAGGACAAATCCTGCAACCCAGGAAGTCAGACCTGCCCCATGAGAGCCATACGCTCAACACACAAGCCAGTCGCTCCACAAAGCAGTTTAGCCACCTTCTTCGAACCTCACAAATTAGGAAGGTTACCTAATTCGGAGCGCAACCCGAAAATATTTAAGATGAAGAGTATTCATCCCGAGGTATGACGGTATTCTGTTGGAAGCCGCCCAGAGTGGCTGGGGAAACCCAGCCAGATGGGCGGGGTATAAATAATAAATTATTATTATTTCTTCCCCGCCTCCTCCCCATCGATCAGTTCAGGCTGCGCGGCTGCCTGGAGCGCGGAGCCTCTGGCCACGTGCAGAGTGCTTCCCTGGGAAGAAGACCCCCGCCCCCCTGCACCCTTTCCTTGACTTGCAAAGTCTTTGCGCCCCCCTCCACCCCGCGCTCACCTGCCGTGGAGAATCGGAAGGCGCGCAGGAAGGCGAGGCACTCGGCCAGGCCGGCGCTGAGCGCGAAGGCGCCCTGGAAGGGGCATCGGCGGAAGAAGAGCTCGAAGGCGGCCGCCTCGCGGTGCCGCCCGCTCCGCCAGTAGCCGTACGCCATGGTGAACTGGTACAGGTCGGTGAGCAGCGCCAGAGACCCGCGGCGCCAGGGCGGAGGCGCCTCCGCGCCGGGGGGACCCGGCTCGCCCATGGCACCCAGACGCGCCCGCCGCTGCGCCCTGTGCGCCCTCGAAGGCGCGCCGAGGACACCAGGCTCCGGAGTCCCGCGGCGGCGCCCGGTTCCCCCACGTGCCAAGGGGGCAGCCCTGGGCGGGGCGGCAGGAGGGCAGGCGCCGCCTCCCCCCTAAGGCGCCTGGGAGATGTAGGCCGAGGGCAAGCGGCTGGAGCGCGCACGCCAGACTCGGGAAGGGATCGCGGTGCATGGCGCGCCCTCTCCATCCCCTGGCGGGTCCGCAGAGGAAGAAGACCACGAACCATCAGCCAGCCACCCCACCCAGTGCCGGATTTACGCATAAGCTAAGCAAGCTATAACTTAGGGCCCCACTCCCTTGCAACCCCCCAAAAAACCCAGGAAAAAACACTGGATGTACATTTCCAAAAGATAAGATAAAAAACAAATAGAATTAAACCTACAGACAGCGACAGTGTTTTGTGTTGTGTAGGCGCCAATGATGTAAGTCATGGGCCCCGCCTGCTCCCTAAAATATCACTGGTTTGCTCCTTTCTATATATAGTGCCTACATGCTTTTGAATTATGGTGCTGGAGGAGACTGTTGAGAGTCTCATGTACTCAAGAAGATCAACCTCAGGTGGTACCTCAGGTTAAGAACTTAATTCATTATGGAGGTCCGTTCTTCACCTGAAACTGTTCTTAACCCGAGGTACCACTTTAACTAATGGGGCCTCCTGCTGCTGCTGCGCCGCCGCACAAGTTCTGTTCTCATCCTGAAGCAAAGTTCTTAACCCGAGGTACTATTTCTGGGTTAGCGGAGTCTGTAACCTGAAGCGTCCGTAACCCGAGGTACCACTGTACCTGCCGATAGACTTACATCTCCTTGTATTTGTCCAGTTCTCCTTTAAAGCCATCCCAGTTGATGGCCATCACATCTTGCAGAAGTGAATCCGTAGCTTAACTATGTGCTCTGCGAAGCACGCAGTTCACATATAGAAACAGGGAAAGCTTATATTGAACCAGACCCCGGGGTCCATCAGTGTATTGTGTGCACTGACCAGCTGTGGCTTTCTAGAATTTTAGGCAGCAAGTTCTTCCCATCTCTGCTACCTAGAGATGCCAGGGACAGAACCAAAGATCTCTTGCAGGCACCGCAGATGCTCAGGCATTGATCAGTGATGGTTGGACCAATGAGGTGACTTTTACCTTTGAACAGCAGGATGCAATCCAACCATGATTGCGTACTGCCCACAAATTTCCTCTCCACCGCTGATTTTTTTTTTAACCATAGGATTTAACAGCAGCCATTTATTACGAGTGGAAAGCAGTGTGAGAACTAAAGCAGTCCCTCCTGTTTGAACACCCCAACACCGAAGCATTAAGAATCAAAGCTCCATTAACAATTTCATGATCCCATAAGAAACTTGTGTTGTTGTTTAGTCCTGTCTGACTCTTCGTGACCCCCTGGACCAGAGCACGCCAGGCACCCCTGTCTTCCACTGCCTCCCGCAGTTTGGTCAAATTCATGCTGGTAGCCTCGAGAACACTATCCAACCATCTCGTCCTCTGTCGTTCCCTTCTCCTTGTGCCCTCCATCTTTCCCAACATCAGGGTCTTTTCCAGGGAGTCTTCTCTTCTCATGAGGTGGCCAAAGTATTGGAGCCTCAGCTTCAGCATCTGTCCTTCCAGTGAGCACTCGGGGCTGATTTCCTTCAGAATGGATAGGTTTGATCTTCTTGCAGTCCATGGGACTCTCCAGAGTCTCCTCCAGCACCATAATTCAAAAGCATCCATTCTTCGGCAATCAGCCTTCTTTATGGTCCAGCTCTCACTTCCATACATCACTACTGGGAGAACCATAGCTTTTACTATACGGACCTTTGTTGGCAAGGCGATGTCTCTACTTTTTAAGATGCTGTCTAGGTTTGTCATTGCTTTTCTCCCAAGAAGCAGGCGTCTTTTAATTTCGTGGCTGCTGTCACCTGGCTTTAAAAAATAATCCAATGACTACATTACATTTTGACCAATCCTAGCAAGAGGACACGGAGAAATCTCTCCCCCCAAGGCTGAGAGATGCACCGGATTCTAGTATCCTAAGTGGGCTACAGAAACAGGGCCAACCTGTGTTAAGAGCCCAGGAGGTGCAACATTCAGAGCTAAAAGAGTGTATTTCCTTAACTATACAGAGATGTGAGCATTGCACCTGCTTCTTTGCTCACGTTGAGACGCGTTTGCTTAATTAAGGGGATGCAATGTGGCCAGTGGAAATTACCGAATGTTCCCATTCTTAATTCCTCCTCTCCGATTTCAAAGCAAAGATGGAATTTCACCTTCCTGCTAGTTATCAGGCTTAGTCGTAGCTGTTTCATTAGTGGGATTATTACCATCTTAAGAACACGCAAAACCTGTCTGGCCTTACAGCCCCTGTTCAGCAGGGTCTCACCGGACCAAACACAGCAGCAGCTTGGAAGGTTTCAAAGCAAAGGCTGTTTAGAAGCTTCTCTATAGCAACCCCAGAAGGATTTGTTGATGGGATATATAAGCAGATGCCAGCTGCTTCCTTGGTTCCCAGACATCATTAATCTATTCATGCAGAGCTGACTCTGCAGACATTAATGCACCACATATCTGATCCCATGCAATGCCCATGACGGAAGTGCGCTGATGAGACAAGTTCTGTGCAGAAGCGGAACATAGAATCATAGAGTTGGAATAGACCACAAGGGCCATCAAGTCCAACCCCCTGCCAAGCAGGAAACACCATCAGAGCACTCCTGACATATGGTTGTCAAGCCTCTGCTTAAAGACCTCCAAAGGAGGAGACTCCACCACACTCCTTGGCAGCAAATTCCACTGTCGAACAGCTCTTACTGTCAGGAAGTTCTTCCTAATGTTTAGGTGGAATCTTCTTTCTTGTAGTTTGGATCCATTGCTCCATGTATCCATGTCCTTGTTGAGAATTCTGTTCCAACTTAAGGAACAGGCATGTGGAATTGTTGCATGTCACATGTCTGTTTACATTCCAGCACAGCTTGCTGGGAACTTCCGTTGTGTGTATAGCTTTTGCTTATGCTGTTTGCTTTGGACACGAAAGAGATCAGACATGTTTCCTATTGTCCTGGTCTACACTGAATAAATCTGCTTGTAAATATGCTCATGCCACTTCTGTTTGCGCGTTCTCTTTGCTGAATAGCGTGCAGTGTCTTCTAAAGCCTGTGTCACAGATTTATGCTGCACCAAGGACCGGAGTTTGCTCAGCACACCGGCCGGAGGGCTGGAGCCAGCTGGGGGCCTGCCAATTGCCCCCGTTTCCTTGGATGCATGCTTAGTCCTTACAAGAGCAAGCCTTCCCCTCCAACGCCCCAATAAGGCAGCAGAGCACACAATGGCTTAATGCAAACTAGTCTATTGCAACATGAAATTTAGGGTAGGGGTATGGGGCAGATTCCAGAACATGGTGCCCTCCCCTGGTTTGAAGCTGGCTTGTTTTGAAACTGCTCAGAGTTCTTCGAAGTCACAGAAACAGAGTTGTGAGGGACCCGGGGGGGGGGGTCATTTAGTCCAACCCCCTGCAATACAGGAATCTCAACTAAAGAATTCATGACAGATGTCTATCCAACCTCTGCTTGAAAACGTCCAGAGGAGGAGAGTCCAACCCCTCTCATGAGAATCTGTTCCACTGTCAAACTACTCTTACTGTCACAAAGTTCTGTCCTATGGTTGGGTTGGAATCTCCTTTCTCGTAACTTAATCCACTGGATCGAGGCCTACCTTCCGGAGCAGGAGAAAACAAGCTCGCTCCACCCTCCATATGACAGCCCTTTAGATATCTGAAGATGCCCATCATACCTGGTTCAAGCAGCCAGGACTGTGAAACCAAGACATTGCAGCTCTTCCACTGCCTGCATTAGAAGAGGTCGGTGGGGTTGCTTTGCTCATCCCCACTTGGGCAGGTTGTGCTGACATCTATGTTAGCCTGACATGTAAACTGGACCTACAGCCCAAGCCAACTTCTCCCAATCAGTAGGGAAGCATGGGAGCTACCTTGATGTTCAGACCAACATTCCCTTTCCAGTTTCAACTCCACCCTAAGGAGGATTTTGTGCAACTGTTAACCTCATACGGAGGATCTCCCCCTTCTGGACAATCTGTCTCCTTGCACCTATGTTCCTTCTGGCTCAAGAACTAACCAATGTTTATACCTAAGGCAGGCATAGGAAAACTCGCCCTCCAGATGTTTTGGGACTACAACTCCCATCATCCCTAGCTAACAGGACCAGTGGTCAGGGATGATGGGAATTGTAGTCCCAAAACATCTGGAGGGCCAAGTTTGCCTATGCCTGACCTAAGGCTTGAACCTTTTCCATTAATATTACATAATACTTCCTTCAACCTTCTTGTAGGATTCATTTTCCCTACCACTGACCACTGTCATAGCAACCCCTGAGAAAAGGCTCCAATTTGTCTATATCCCTCTTAAAATGCAGAGCCTGGAACTATATATATATTTTGCAGTCACAAACTGCAGACTTATGTTCAGCTTGCAACTTATTACCATTTCCAAAATGCTTTTCACATGTACAACTGCTGTCAGGTACCTCCCATCCCATTCTGTGCATTTGATTTGTGTGTGTGTGTGTGGTTGCACATGCACACACACTAAATCCAGAAATTTCCATTATATCCGGAAGCAAACGAACTGTGTCCTCTGTAACAAGAGAATGCAAGCCACCCCTACGTTACCCAGCTATTGTCCATGTGGCCGGTGAGGTGTGCATGGACAATGCTGCAGGCACATCTTCAGTACAAGATTATCTGAAATGAACTTTATTTCAGGACCAAGTGCCTTTCTCTCCAGGCAGTGCACATTTAAGTTCAACCACCTCCAAAACAAGAGGAGGCGCCCTGGAGGAGGAGAGCTGGAAAAGGCTGGACCCTCTGATCAGCAGCAACTCCTACAACAGAAAAGAAAGATGCCCTCACACAGCACTGCTCTCCAACTCTTGACCTTTTATTAGCTTTAGAAAGTGTAAAGGTTTGCCGTTAGATCTTGTTGAAAGCAGCTATGTCAACACTCTGCACCTGGAAGACATAAGGGAGAAAAATGAAGTGAGAAGAGTTTTTGCACTGTCAGGCCAAAAAAATAAATAAATCCCAAGACTGGCCTAAGCAAAGGGGCCGTGTGTGCAAACCACAGACTCTGCAATCTGATCCAGGCATCGTTTGAAAACCCTAACCCTCGTGATAATTACGATAATTAAGAAGGAGGTGTGTGTTGGGATACTGCCCGGGAGACAAAGGCCATCATGCCCCCAAGCCGTCTCCATTGCGATCCATCGACCTCCCGTAGATAACGCAGTATCAGTCAATTAGCGACACGAAGCCTCAGAAATAGCTTGCCACATTCCAGAGCTCGTGCACGCTCTTATCAGCAGAGTTCGCACAGCGAAAGATGCACGCAGGAGAGCATTATTTACAATTTTAAAATTGTAAAATTTACAATTAAGAACAGGGCTCCCATGAGAAATAGAGCTCTCAGCTGCCGACTTCCTCAGCTTCCTCAACATTTTTACAATTTTTAAATTGTAAATTTTACAATAATGTAAATAATGCTCTCCTGCGTGCATCTTTCGCTGTGTGAATTCTGCTGAGAGAGCGTGCATCAGTATCCCAACAACGTGATGTGTGTTGAAGGCTTAGAAACATAACGGGACTCTCAAGCACAGCTGCTGGTTTAAGAGGGACTCAGCTTCAGTGACCTATGCAGATCGCATCCTGGTACATAAGCAGCTACACAGAATGAGAGCCAGTGTGGTGTAGTGGTTCAGAGCGGTGAACTCGTAATCTGGTGAACCAGGTTCGCTTCCCCACTCCTCCACATGCAGCTGCTGCATGACCTTGGGGCAGTCACGCTTCTCTGAAGTCTCTCAGCCTCACTCACCTCACAGAGTGTTTGTTGTGGGAGAGGAAGGGAAAAGAGATTGTGAGCCACTTTGAGACTCCTTCGGGTAGTGATAAAGCGGGATATCAAATCCAAATCCAATGAATCTGTCTGTCTGTCTATCTAATTTCTGCGAAACGTTTTGTACAAGTTCTACTAATGTGACTACACTAGGCCTTAGTCAAACGCTTTGCATCAGCATTTTTAAGGTTAAGGTTAAAAAGCCACAGGGATGCATGCCTGTTGTACCCTTGAGAGCACAAGACAATAACCTCTTAGCATGCAAATACTCAATCACCAATGCAACTCCCACCAACATGGTCCCCTCCGGATGTTTTGGATCACAGCCACCATCAATCCAAAACATATGAAGGGTATATACCAGGTTGGCAAAGTGAACGTGGCAGACTTGCCCCTGGGACGAAGCTAGCAGCAGATGGTATAAGAGCTGAGAGAACAAACCAGCAAGACCCAAGCTCAATGCACAAATATAAGCCTCTGGCACTGCCAACAGCCTCAACACAAGCTTTTAAAGTCTGGGGATGAACTGAATGTTCTAAAAGTTTGAGCACAAAGATGGGCTTTTCAGGAGACTCAAAAGCTCTTGCCAAAAGCCTAATTTTTTGCACTAGTTTCTTGCTAGTGTAGTCCTAGTCAAGGGCCTGCATTATTCCTAGTTACTCAAGGCATCTGGGAGTGGGAATTAGCAGGATGCCAGGAAAGTGTGTGTTTCTGTAGCACCCTCCCTGGGGAAAAAAAGCAAAACCCCAAAAGCCCTCTCCCCCCCAAAATAGCTTGGAATGTTCATGAAATTCCACCTCTTCCCCAATTGCTTTGGATCAGCTCCAATATGGTCAATATGATCTTGTTAAAGAGTCTTGCACAACTTGGAAGCAGAATCATAGAATTGGAAGGGACCCCAAGGGCTCATCTAGTTCACCCCCCCTGTAATGCAGGAATCTCAGCTAAAGCATCCATGACAGATTGCCATCCGTCTCTACAGTACAGAATTATATCACCATGGGCTGGGCAACTGGGCCAGAGAAATAGCCCTCCGTGGGAACTTACGTAATCTTCAAACTTGGTGATCTCCTCCTCCAGTATATCTGTCCCAACTTTGTCATCTTCCACCACACACTGGATCTGGAGTTTATTGATGCCATAACCCACTGGGACCAGTTTGGAGGCTCCCCAAACCAGACCATCCATCTGGACAGATCTGACACATTCCTCCATCTTGGCCATGTCCGTCTCATCATCCCACTGAAGGAGGGAAAGGTGAGGGGGAAATGGGAGTTAGCAACACAATCAGTACAGAAAATGCAGGAGCCAAGGGATTACAGTTGACACAAGGCAGTGCAAGGTTATTTGCAGGAATAAAAGACTTCCCAGAGATTATCCAAAAGTAAATATGTGAAATGGAGAAGCCATACATGACTGTCAATTAGCTTACCAGCATTGGTGAGAAATAAAATCTAGTTAGCAATTTTATGAAACTTTAGATCTTCCCTTTCACCTGTCTTCAAGCTACTCCACCGAGCTCTTTTTTTGCCAAATGTAACATATCCCCAAAGCTGGATTTCCCCAGCCACTCTGGGCTGCTTCCAACAAAATATTAAAATACAGTGGTCTGTTAAACATTAAAAGCTTCCCTAAACTTGTACAATCAAGTTCCAGTCCAAATTAAATTCAATGGAGAGTACAGTGATGATTGGGCTGCAAGGTTCACTTGGGAGGTTTGCAGTGCAAAAATTATTAGATAATTACATTTCAATACGTTATGCTACAGCAAGAATATGACCTCTTGAGTTGGTACCTTCTATAATGTAGAACACATCTCTGCCTTGTGGAGGTAAGGTAAAGGGACCCCTGACCATTAGGTCCAGCCGTGACCGACTCTGGGGTTGCGGTGCTCATCTCGCTTTATTGGCTGTGGGAGCCGGCGTACAGCTTCCGGGTCATGTGGCCAGCATGACTAAGCCGCTTCTGGCAAACCAGAGCAGCGCACGGAAATGCCATTTACCTTCCCACCGGAGCGGTACCTATTTATCTACTTGCACTCTGACGTGCTTTCGAACTGCTAGGTTGGCAGGAGCAGGGACTGAGCAACGGGAGCTCACCCCATTGTGGGGATTCGAACTGCTGACCTTCTGATCAGCAAGCCCTAGGCTCTGTGGTTTAACCCACAGCACCACCCGCGTTCAAAGAAAAGTCTTAGAGAATGCCAAATTTGGAGTTAGGCAGGAAGCCCAAACCAGCAAACACTAGGAACCCTATTAAGCAACGCCCATTAACCACGGCCTAGTACTCCAAGGCAGCGCTACATCAGTCTTGAGAGCTCATTATCTGTTTCGTCCAAACTTCAGGACACTCAGTTCTGCAGCTACAATTAAGAGAACATGGAATGCTCATAGCTCTCCTCTATTTGTTCCAGCACCCCAGAAGACTGCAGAGACAGGGTGAGAGACAGAGAAGAAAAGGGCAGAGACAACACACTCAGAGCTTCAGGGCTAAGGTGGAGAGTTCTTTATGAACACCCAATTCACACAAGATACACTTTACCAGTTGAGTGGAGCACCTGAAGTTATCCCCATGATACTGACTCACTGGAAAAGGGTAAAAATAGGAGCTTACTGGCTTGACATCCAAGAGGATGGAAGACTTGGCAATCAGGCCAGGTTTTTTGGACTTCTTCTCTGCATACTGCTTGAGCCGCTCTTCCCGAACTCTGGCAGCTTCCTGGTCTTCCTCCTCCTCATCACTACCAAACAGGTCGATGTCGTCATCGTCCTCGTCTGCAGCCGCTGCCGCGGAGGTCTCTGCTTTCCTTGTAGACGAAGCAGAAGGCAGCTCAACTTTCCTTGATAAATGGGTCAGCGGCTCCACCTTCTTCATGGGAGTGACATGCTTCAAGGAGACACCAAAATAAATCTTGCATCAAGGGAAAGCGAAAAGCAAATGCCAAAAGGGAGGGGAGGTAATCGCTAGGAGCGGGGGAACTCTGGTCACAGGCAAAAGATGGGGAGACGTGTGAGAGGGTGGGTTTTCAGTGCCAGCCAATAAGCAAGCACAAATTTGACCCATGGGGCACAATCCACCATGTTACCCTGAGGGAGCCCCATTGAAATGAACAGAAGTAATTAATAATAATAATAATAATAATAATAATAATAATAATACCCCGCCCATCTGGCTGGGCCTCCCCAGCCACTCTGGGTGGCTTTCAACAGAATATTAAAATACAATAAACTATTAAACATTAAAAGCTTCCCTAAACAGGGCTGCCTTCAGATGTCTTCTAAAAGTCAGGTAGATGTTTTTCTCTTTGACATCTGGTGGGAGGGTGTTCCACAGGGCGGGTGCCACCACCGAGAAGGCCCTGTGCCTGGTTCCCTGTAACTTGGCTTCTCACAAGGAGGGAACCGCCAGAAGGCCCTCAGCGCTGGATCTCAGTGTCCAGGCTGAGCGATGGGGGTGGAGACGCTCCTTCAGGTATACTGGACCGAGGCCGTTTAGGGCTTTACAGGTCAGCACCAACACTTTGAATTGTGCTCGGAAACGTACGAAGATGAAACACCAAAATGGATTGTGATTCGTGACAATTACGACAATTACGGGGAGAGGGCTGTCATTTGGGCTTTCCACCCCAGAGTGCTGTTGTGCTCTGATCCTGTGTGGGCGTTGAGAGCAGGCTGCTGAACTAAATGGGTCTTTGGGATAACTCAGCAGGGATCTTCTAATGTAGACAGTAACGTATCACAGCCCAGGCCAGTGCAAGAGGTAAACTTAAAATCAAAGTTTTTACTTGGTCACTCCCACACACAGATTAAGGGAATAGTTTTCAAAGTAAAACACATTTTCTGGGAAACCCTGGCACTCCTTAATGATAAGATTGTTAACACCTGAAGAAGTGGTGCTCACCGTTGCCAATTTCCTCCTCAAACAAAGCTCTCCAATAACAACAAATGATGTTACCCCACAGATAAGGAACTTGTTCCACCTTTCTACCACACAAAGGTCTGGCTGAGACTATGCACTTCTCCATGGGGCATAATAATAATAATAATAATAATAATAATAATAATAATAATAATAATAATAATAATATATTATTTATACCCCGCCCATCTGGCTGGGTTTCCCCAGCCACTCTGGGCGGCTTCCAACAAAATACTAAAATTCAATAATCTATTAAACATTAAAAGCTTCCCTAAACAGGGATGCCTTCAGATGTCTTCTAAAAGTTTGGTAGTTATTTTTCTCTTTGACACCTGGTGGGAGGGCGTACCACAGGGCGGGTGCCACTACTGAGAAGGCCCTCTGCCTGGTTCCCTGTAACTTGGCTTCTCGCAGCAAGGGAACCGCCAGAAGGCCCTCGGAGCTGGACCTCAGTGTCCGGGCAGAAATAAAAACACCCTGCAGAGGTTTCCCCAACCCCACTGCCGCCACTCCCCAAAAGCCCCACAGCGTTCCTGTCCACAACTGGATAAAAGATACGATGGCATGTTCCTTTAGAAATGGTTTTACCTGTGTTGGTGGTGGCGGTGAAGGGTGATGAGAGGTAGATGATTTTTCCAGAAGACTCAGGCGGTTCTCAAGTCTGGAGATGGCGAGCTGAAGGTCTGTAACCACTGGAAAATGGGAGGAGGGGTAGAGAACACTGAATGAATGGGATCAAAATTGACCGCATGGAGCACTTTGCTTTCCTTCTTGCCAGTTACTGTATTAGCATCAGCAGAATGCTGACAGAAGTCAAAACACACAGACTCCTCCTTCTGAACAAGAGAACGTGAAGATTTTAGCAGCACGTCAGTTGCAAGTCATAATCCGGTTTCGCCACTCACCACAACGAAGGTTTTGATTCTCTGCCTCCAGGGTCGCGATCCTGGTGACCAGCTCACTTTGGTCCCCAGCCGGTCCTGCTGCGGAGGTGCTGCTCACACTCTGAAAAAGAGACAGGCAGTATGGAGAAGGGTGAGGCCGTCGGTTGCCGACACATCGGACAAGAGAGACGCTCTATCATAACAGAGCCATAGTGACAGGAGAGAAATGGATGGGGGAAGCCGTGAAGAGAGCAACAGGGACCAAGCTTTTTTCACACAGAAGGTGCAAGACAAATAGCACATGGCCTGAGCCCCATGATGGAAACTGTGGTGTACACAGTTCCTCAACTCCTGAATATGTGCTTCTGTGGGGCTTTTAGGCAATTCAAAACAAAACATAGCTGTCAAATAGTCCCTATGCGGTACCTCCTGATATCTTAAGTACGATAATATTTGCATGGCATGTGTATGAATGGCTCAAAAGGGGGGGTATGTGTATGGCATGCACCTCTTTTTAAGGGGGAGGTAACCCTGCCGAACATGATCAGTATTCTGTTCTTAAGATCACACCATCATGCAAGGCAAATAATGTGAATACCTATCCTACACAGGGATGGGAGACAATTTTCTTTTTTTTAACAAGACTGGGAGAGATGGCTCCAGTTCTTCTCAAGAGAACTTGGCCAGGATCCAAGGCGCCGTGAGCCTAAAAGGACTCGAGGCACTTTCCTGTCCTAAACAGCAGTCCTCCACTCTGCAAGGAAAACTGTATTTGAAACGGGGAGTTTCAAAAGCAAACTGGAACATCGAATAAGCAACAGACAAGCATCAGAAATCATAGGGGGTTTGTACAAGCCCCTTGTGAGAGCTTCAGCTAGTTCCTTGCACCAGAGAATCTTATGACTGGGATCTAATCACAACTATGGCAGCTTATAGCTAAGGGTTCTAGAAAGGTGGGTTAGGGAATACTATTTTCAGTTATTCTGCTGCTTAAGTAGTATAGATGTTTTTAAAAACTACCGGTAAATTTAATTTAAAAATTAGAATATAGGTTTATTTCCCTACTTGAGAAGCCATTCCTGAAGGATAACTGAACATAACTGTGTGGATATTTTCCACAAGCAAAACTATGTATAACTAGACCCTTAAACGGCACTGAATTTGCAAAGCAGCACGATGACAGGATGGGGAAGAGGCAGAGGAAGGGCCTTACGCAGAAGCAAGGGCTGACCCTGGCAGACAAACAAACAGGTTGTTGTGCTCCCCCCGCCCCCAAAAGCGACTTACAGTCGCGCGACCTGACTGCTTCTTGCGACGTGCTGGAGGGGCTTCGTGGGGGTTTTGCAAAACTGTCTTGAGCTGGAAAGGGCAAGAGTATTTTATGGTAAAAATAAAAAAAATACACGGTTTACTCTGGTCACTCATGCAGATGTGGGCAGCTAAGCAGAGCAGTCCAACCCACATGCAGGAAAACATGCCTAGGTAAGAAAAGTTAAGTAAAATCAATATTCTGAGAGTAAGACAGTAACCTGGGGTGCATTTTTAAAAAATGAGTTTAAGCTTCAAAGTTCTGTTCTTTTCAACTAGGGTCAGGGCACAGAATTGGTCTTGTTTGCCTAACCAGAGATAGCAAATCCTACCATTCCAGCCCAAAATAAGCTGCTCACACTGTCAACTTGTCCCGACACGGAAATGGCAGAAATAGCTTAGCAGAGAAAGTTCTGTGTTAAACAGTTAAGGCAACTTGCAATTTAGCCATAGACATGGCAACTGGAATGCCATTAGGCTTAGCGGAACAGCCAGGATTATTTCAGACACAAACACGTGAAAACAATCCATATACATTTTAAGTCCCTCATTCAAAGTCCCTAGGCCTAGGTAACCTCAGCCAGGAAGTAAGAGAACTAGTCAAGAAACTGAAAGTGGAAGTAGGTGGAGAATTCTTGTGATGGAGGGAGGAATGGTGATGGGGAAATCCCCAGAGGTTATTTATGGGGAATGATGCTCTATAACTTGTTCATACGTGATTTGGAGCCTGAGGTGAGCAGCATGTAGTCACATTTGCAAGTACAGTGGTGCCCCGCAAGACGAATGCCTCGCAAGACGAAAAACCCACTAGACGAAAGGGTTTTCCGTTTTTGAGTTGCTTCGCAAGACGATTTTCCCTATGGGCTTGCTTCGCAAGACGAAAACGTCTTGTGAGTCTTGCGATTTTTCCCCCGCTTCCCCCCCTTTTCTAAGCCACTAAGCTGCTAATAGCCTTTTAGCCGCTAATCCGCTAAGCCTTTAATAGCCGCTAAACGCGCTAATCCGCTAAGCTGCTAATAGGGTTGCTTCGCAAGACGAAAAAACCGCTAGACGAAGAGACTCGCGGAACGGATTATTTTCGTCTTGCGAGGCACCACTGTAACTGTTTTCACAACCTGTTTATACCATAGATTCCTAGAATGATTCTTAAATTTTGCACCATTGGCACCATCTCCATGTATGCCACAACTCCTCCTACCTTTGTCTGATGTTGCATATTATGACAATGGTGAAGGGCCAAAGGTCAGTGGTAGAATACATGCTTTGAATGCAGAAGGTCCCAGGTTCAACCTCTCACAACTCCAGATAGGACTGGGAATGTCTCCTATCTGAAATCCGGGAGAGCTGCAGTCCGGGTGGAACAATGTTCCATTTCCCAAATGAAAATGTCCTCTCTTTTTGGCATTAAATTTTTATTTGTGGTTCTGTTGCAGGTTGTTTTCTCCTCCCAGTTTTGCCTTGCAACTTGCCTCTCCATCTCTTAGTACTGTCATAGCTCTGCATTTTGTATCTGCCATTCCTTGAATCATTAAAATAAATTGATCATCAGCTCCATTTGTAGTCTGGTTATTTTTTTTATTTTTAAACATGCTGCAACCGACCCTCCTAATCAAAATGAGTTCATGTTGCACTTAGCACTAGGCCCAAGTCACCACAATTTGTTTGTTCCTCTAAAAAACCCACTTAGGAAGCTTGGTGTCCTGTAGCTGGAACGTTTGAGACAACACAATTAAATCAATTCAGAGAACAAGTTGTGGAAAAACAAGTTCTGGATTATCCATCAGGATAATCAGTCCTTCCCTTTAATAAGCAGGGGAGAAATGGCAAATTGCTTTAAAAATAAGAGTGTTACAGCGGCCAGAGAAATCAAATGCACAACAAAGAAAAACACACCCACAAAACTCATACGCTGTGCTCACAAACCACCACCACAAATCCCTTTCTCTTCCCCTGAAAAAGCCGACAGCACTGATCTGGGCAATCTTAACAGAGCAGCCTTGGTCAATCTGGTGCCCTCCGCATTTGGTGGTAGCCTGGCTACCAAAGCCTAACAATGGAGATTAGTTCAAGCTGCCATTCCAAGTTTTTAACAAGGAAATGCAAAAGAAACAGGATGGGAAATCCTTTTTAAAATTGTCAAATATTTAGTGGTCTATAAATCTTCCAAACAAATGCTTTAAAAGGAACCCCACAGCTTTAAGAGCTTTTAATGAGCTAAAGGACCTACAATTACCAAATGATTTTTTAAAAGCAGGGATGACTAACTGTTTCAGATCTTGAATTCTACCATATGCAGTTAAGGCCAAACTATCTCCTAGACCAGGGCTTTTTTCCAGCTGGAACTTGCTTAGTTCCAGCATCTCTCAGGTGGGTGTCATTGCCATTCTAAGAGAATGAGGGAGGTGTTTATGGTGAGTTCTGGCACCCTTTTTTCTAGAAAAATAGCCCTGCCTAGACCAGTTATCTTGACCCACTTCAGTCCGGGTTAAGGCCAGGGATTAGGGCTGAAATGAGCTACTGAAGATCTTTCACCGCCAGATTAACACACATACTTGCCAGCAGGCTTTTATGGGACTGGACAAGACTGTTTATCCAGCCTTTCTCAACCTGTGGGCCCCCAGATGTTGTTGAACTACAACTCACATCACCCCTAGCTAGCAAGGCCAGAGCTCAGGGATGATGGGAGTTGTAGTCCAACACATCTGGGGACCCACAGGCTGCTTCCTAACTTTGTTTGTTCCTGCTTCCTAACTTTGTAACTGGAAACTGTTTTATAATTTTACGTTTTGACTATTGCCTGCCCTGGTTTCACTATGCAATGATGAGACACAGTAAAATATTGCAAATAAAAATGAGCCTGAACTAGCCTGAACCTTTTTTTATTAGCCTAAGAGACTAGCAATTTGTGTCTCCATGCTGGCTGCAGTGAATCACTGTAGAAAGAGAGGATGGTTGCCCTTTAGCAGGCTTAGAGGGAGAAGGGCGGGGGGGGGGGGAGAGAGAATGAATACTGCCTCCTCCCAAACAAGCCAGTGGAGGGAAGACAGAGAGAAGGGGGAGAGTTCCCCTTCGTTTTCTGCAGTCGGCATGGAAACCAAGCAGAACAAAGAGATCCATTCCTTCTGCACCAGCTTACTCACTCACCTGTGTGGGACTCCTAACCCGCTATAGGCACCAGGCAAGTTGTTAAATACAAGGCTGTCTTACTATCCAAGTTTTAAGAGTACTGAAGCCAGTACACATAGTTTGGGGCTGAATTTAAGAGGCATGGAAACAGGCAAGAAGATGCCCAAGGGCAGGCATAGGCAAACTTGGCCCACCAGATGTTTTGGGACCACAACTCACATGATCCCTAGCTAACAGGACCAGCGGTCAGGGGTGATGGGAATTGTAGTCCCAAAACATCTGTAGGGCCGAGTTTGCCTATGCCTGCCCAAGGGAGTCACTTTTTGTTCTCTCTTCTCTGCTTCAGCCATGTGAAGTCAAAGAGTGTCAAATCAAACCCACTGTGAGGGACCCCACCTGTTCATCAACTAAAGACACGTACCCATTTAATACGCCACACATGCAGAAAATAAGAAGTGCTGCAGCTGAACAGAACAAAGCAGAAAACAGCCGTTATTTGAAACAGAGAGGCCATGCAAATGCAAAATGGAAAGAGGTGCTGCGTCTTGACACAAATGGCTTTTTTATTCTGCTCATGCCGCACGTCTACTTGCCAAGCAACCAAGTGTTATCCAGAGCCATCCAGGCATAATTCAAAGTCAAAACTGCCCTGGGCTCCTTCGGCAGGAAGGGCAGGATGCAAATTCA